CGCCGTGGCCTTACGTTTGCCTCCCATTTCGTCATTTCTAAAGATATCGTCACGAAACTTCTTGTGAGTGATCCTAGTCCGGCCCCCCAAAAGATCTGATGTGAACATCCGGTGGGCGTGGCCTATTTTCTGAAATAGCGCCCCCTAGGACGATTAAAACTGTCAGCCCCAAGCCATGCTTTGACTGAGGATTACGAAATTTGGTACACTAATGTGGTGTCTAAGGACCTACAAAAAAGTCTCTTGGAGCCAAGTGCAAAGTCACACAGGAAGTCGGCCATTTTGGTCCAAGTGTGCGATTTAGTGGTTTTCACACACGTTGTTTGGAAAGTGATGCTCCGTCGCCCTTTTGACCAATCGCCTTCAAACTTCTGCTATATACTCTTAAGACATAGAGGAAAAAATTCAACCGTCGGATTTTAAATAAGTATAAAGGTGTGGGCGTGGCTAAGCCTCAAACTTTGACCTTTCGCCACGCCACTCTTTTTTTCACAGCTCCCTATTGGACCCATTTTACCCAATCACCAGTAATCTCTGGTAAATAGCAGCAGACAAGTTGAGGTCACTTGGTCTCCAGTACTGGAAGGTTTTGAGAAAAGGCGGGGCTTTGGGAGCATGGCGAAATTCGCCATCACGCCATGGAAATACGTTTGCCTCTCATTTCTTCATTTATCGTGATATCACCTCGAAACTTGTTGTGAGTGATCCTAGTCTGACCCCCAATAGAAATGGATGGCTGAAGTTTGTGGGCGTGGCCTATTTTCTGAAATAGCGCCCCCTATGACCATTAAAACTGTCAGCCCCAAGCCATGCTTTGACTGAGGATTGCAAAATTTGGTACACTAATGTGGTGTCTCAGGACCTACAAAAAAGTCTCTGGGAGCCAAGTGCAAAGTCGCACAGGAAGTCGGCCATTTTGGTCCAAGTTCTCGATTTAGTGGTTTTCGCACACGTTGTTTGGACAATGATACCCCGTCGCCCTTTTCACCGATCACCTTCAAACTTCTGTTATATTTTCTTAAGACAAAGGGGAAAAAATTCAACCGTCGGATTTTAAATAAGTAAATGGTGTGGGCGTGGCTAAGCCTCAAACTTTGACCTTTCGCCATTACATTACTTGACTTAACAACTCCAATGTGCATGATCAGATCTATATCAAACTTTGTCCGTGTGATCAATGACCAAATCTCAAGACAACGTCATTGTGGACAGGTGACATCACCTAAGCCCCGCCCCCTGACAACAGGAAGTCTATTGTTTTATGGTGAAATGCCCATATTTGTCCTCTCTAATTTAGTCAACATGACACTAAGGTCAGGCACTGTCTTCATGATGTTGCAATGACCATTCAGATCTGATAGCTTTCCAGATAGGGAGGGGCTTTGATGCCATGGCGATTTCTGGCATGACGCCATGACCTTACGTTTGATCGTAACTTCCACAAACAGCCTCCCATCTGCACGAGACTGAACATGGCAATAAACAATCATGCCCTTTAGCCAATGAGACACAAATGGTTGGTGAAATTCGTATAATAACACCACAGCACCCCCTACACAACATTAAAACTGTGATAACTCCTACAGACGAGGTCGTAACTGCACCAAACTTGGTGTGCTCAGAGGGGATGCTCAGTCAGGGTGAGGTGCGGACGAGGTGACCGTTAGCTGTTTCTGGTGTCGGGGTGGTCAAAATTTTTGTTCCACGGACGTAACCTGGTGCCTCGGGCTGCCGGCCAGGCCGGAGCGGCGCGGAGCTGCGAGGGCCGAACGACGCTGCTTGCAGCTTTAATTATTTTTTGTTATTCCGTGCCCCCTTTGAACAGCTTTTTGGGGACCTTAACATACCCCAAAACTCACAATATTTTGCACACTTGTCAGGCCTGGTGAAAAATTTGATATTTTAAAGGTCCCAAAAAAATCGCAAAGAAAATGGCTGAACAGCGCCCCCTACAAAGTGAAAAAAACCCCTCTCCATAAAGCTTAGTTTATCGTACAGTTATGAAATTTGGTACACTTGTAGTACTCAACAGTCCGCACAGAAAAGTCTCTTGCAACCATGGTCAATATCAAACAGGAAGTCGGCCATTTTGGGTTGAAATGGCGATTTTTTGCCGTTTTTGCCGTTTTTAGGGTCCGTTTCTGATTGGATTGCTCGATCATTTTTCGCACGATCGTCTCAAAAATTGTGTAAAATTGCTCAGAAGGGATGGGCGAACAAAATGAGATAAGGATTCTGAGTTTTCGTATATGTTGAAGGGGCGGAGCCAGGCCTCGAAGTTTGACTACTCGCCAAAAATATTTAAATTGCTATAACTTCATAACTGAATGGAATAGAGTTACCAAACTTTCTGTGGTCATTCGTCATCCACCCACAAAGTAAATTGAAAGGTCGGATGATGACATCACACAAGCCCCGCCCCCTCAGGACCAAAAAGATCAAGTTTTACTGTGAAAGGTCCCAAATTGCCCCATTTCACTTAATCACCACAAATTTGTAGCTGGTAACTCAAGACAAGTGGGGGTTGCTTGGCGTCACTTTATGGGAGTTTTCGGCAGAGGGCGGGGCTGTGGTGGCGCGGCGAATTCAGGCGTACCGCCTTGGCCTTACGTTTGCCTCCCATTTCGTCATTTCCAAAGATATCGTCACGAAACTTCTTGTGAGTGATCCTAGTCCGGCCCCCCAAAAGATCTGATGTGAACATCTGGTGGGCGTGGCCTATTTTCTGAAATAGCGCCCCCTAGGACCATTAAAACTATTAGCCCCAAGCCATGCTTTGACTGAGGATTACGAAATTTGGTACACTAATGTGGTGTCTCAGGACCTACAAAAAAGTCTCTTGGAGTCAAGTTCAAAGTCGCACAGGAAGTCGGCCATTTTGGATCAAGTACGCGATTTAGTGGTTTTCGCACACGTTGTTTGGAGAGTGATGCTCCGTCGCCCTTTTCACCAATCTCCTTCAAACTTCTGCTATATACCCTTAAGACATAGGGGAAAAAATTCAACCGTCGGATTTTTCAAAAGTTGAAAGGTGTGGGCGTGGCTAAGCCTCAAACTTTGACCTGTCGCCACGCTACTCTTTTTTTCACAGCTCCCTACTGGACTCCTTTTACCCAATCACCAGGATTCTGTGGCAAACAGCAGTAGACAAGTTGAGGTTACTTGGTCTCCAGTACTGGCAGGTTTTGAAAAAAGGCGGGGCTTTGGGACCATGGCGAAAATCGCCATCACGCCATGGAAATACGTTTGTCTCTCATTTCTTCAGTTATCGTGATATTGCTACGAAACTTCTGGTGAGTGATCCTAGTCTGAGCTCCAAGAGAAATAGACAGCTGAATTTTGTGGGCGTGGCCTATGTTTTGAAATAGCGCCCCCTAGGACCATTTAAACTATTAGCCCCAAGCCATGCTTTGACTGAGGATTACGAAATTTGGTACACTAATGTGGTGTCTCAGGACCTACAAAAAAGTCTCTTGGAGTCAAGTTCAAAGTCGCACAGGAAGTCGGCCATTTTGGATCAAGTACGCGATTTAGTGGTTTTCGCACACGTTGTTTGGAGAGTGATGCCCCGTCCACCTTTTCACCAATCTCCTTCAAACTTCTGCCATCTGCTCTTAAGACATAGAGAAAAAAATTCAACCGTCGGATTTTTCAAAAGTTGAAAGGTGTGGGCGTGGCTAAGCCTCAAACTTTGACCTGTCGCCGCGCCACTCTTTTTTTCACAGCTCCCTACTGGACTCCTTTTACCCAATCAGCAGGAGTCTCTGGCAAATAGCAGTAGACAACTTGAGGTCACTTGGTATCCAGTACTGGAAGGTTTCAAAAAAAGGCAGGGCTTTGGGAGCATGGCGAAAATCGCCATCACGCCATGGTAATACGTTTGCCTCTCATTTCTTCATTTATCGTGATATCGTTACGAAACTTCTGGTGAGTGATCCTAGTCTGACCCCAAAGAGACATAGACAGCTGAAATATGTGGGCGTGGCCTAATTTCTGAAATAGCGCCCCCTAGGACCATTTAAACTTATAGCCCCAAGCCATGCTTTGACTGAGGATTATGAAATTTGGTACACTAATGTGGTGTCCCAGGACCTACAAAAAAGTCTCTTGGAGCCAAGCACAAAATTGCACAGGAAGTCGGCCATTTTGGTCCAAGTACGCGATTTAGTGGTTTTCGCACACGTTGTTTGGAGAGTGATGCTCCGTCGCCCTTTTCACCAATCGCCTTCAAACTTCTGCTATATACTCTTAAGGCATAGGGGAAAAAATTCAACCGTCGGATTTTTCAAAAGTTGAAAGGTGTGGGCGTGGCTAAGCCTCAAACTTTGACCTTTCGCCATTACTTGACTTAATAACTCCCATGTGCATGATCAGATCTTTTTCGAACTTTGTCTGTGTGATCATTGACCATATCTGTAAACAATGACAATGTGGACAGCTGACATCATCGAAGCCCCGCCCCCTGACTAAAGGAAGTTATTATTTTATGCTGAAATGCCCATATTTGTCCCCTCTAATTTAGTCAACATGACACCTAGGTCATGCACTGTCTTCATGATGCTGTAATGGCCATTCAAATCTGATAGCTTTCCAGAAAGGGAGGGGCTTTGATGCCATGGCGAATTCTGGCGTAACGCCGTAACCTTACAATTCAATTTAATGGTGAGCTCAGAGGGGATGCTTAGTCAGGGTGAGGTGCGGACTAGGAGGCCATTTGCTGTTTCCGGTGACGGGATGATTGACGTTTCTGTTCTGCAAGACATGCCCTGGTGCCCCGGGCTGCCGGCCAGGCCGGAGCGGCGCGGAGCTGCGAGGGCCGAACGACGCTGCTTGCAGCTTTAATTTATATTATTATTATTATTATCATTATTAATAATGATAATAATAATATGACCCCCCCCCCCCCACACACACACACACACACACTCATTTATAAACGGACTCAGGCTTCAGACTTTCCTTTTTAATTAGGGAACAGCTCCATCTGACCCTGTGAATAGACATGTAATTCTATATATTTGCTACATGATGTCAGACTCAATATATGTGTGAGTTATACTGCTGGGGAACACACTGGATTATCCTGGCTCACCCCTTTAGTATAGACTGTTGGAGGACAGACTGACCACATTCACCCTATCTGAAGGCTTTACACCATGTTTGTACTATTTCTGCCAGTAACCTTTTTTGCAGAAATGAGGACGGGTCCAACCCATGTGTCTGTCTGTCTCTCTCCTGCCCTCTCAGACCCCGTCTGTCCATCCGCCCATCCTGAAAGTGGAGGAGAATGGAGGGGGGAGGGGGGAGGGAGGAAGCAACGTTTGACCTAATTAGCTTTTGAGAAAACGCTGCCACATTTCCTCCTCATCAGCCCTCCAGTCTCCGTTACTTCAGAACAAGGTTCTTCTCCAGCACAGCGCACCCAGAACCGACCGAACCACTCAGAGGGACGGTTCGGATGGGCTGCACAACGGAGTCTCGAACTTTCGGGTCTTTCTGCTCCCAGAACTCTCCTCTTCCCTCCAGTCCAGGTAAGATACGCTGGAGTCATCAGCGGGTTTGGGGCTTTGCATGTGAACTGCTTCTTGAAGTTTATAACAAACTTTAATTAGAGCAGCAGCAGACGAACGAACAGAACGCCAGTGGATAACAGATGAACATTTAGAAACATTGGGACTGGATTTCACATCAGTACCAGCTCGGACCAAATGTTTATTCCCTCAAGTCAATAAAGAAACTTCATCTGCACTCTGAACTTCTGCAGAGTCTCGTTCGGTCACTTTTAAAACTTGTTTATCATGCGCACGTGGTCCTTGCAGAGTAAAATGTGACAGGGTGATGACGTAGACGCGCAGACTGACCCCTCCTTTCCACCGGAGCCGTCAGCAGCAAGTTTTTCTTTTTTTTTATTGTACAAATTCACAAATACAGCGCATATCTTACAAATCAACAAGATATGAATAAGTACAGTTGGTTAAGAACAAAGCAGCCATCCAAACGAAGAACAACAACAACAAAAAAATAAAAATAAAAGAACATTATAGGTCAGAAATAACAAAACAGCATACCCTTGCATTAAATGACCTTCCATATGAAGTAAAGAAAACAAAGAAAACAAAACAAAAACAGAAGTACGCACATACATTCTAGCTACATCAGTTGAAAAGCAACATCAAAAAATCAAGTAAGATCTGAGCTTTCTTTAACTTACACGTATCTAATGAAGCCTTCAAGGACTTTATTTTTAAAACCAGCAAAATTCGGAGTAATTTTTAAGAAGCGACATTTATGAATGAAAAATTTTGCAACTATACATAAGTTGTTAATCCCAAATTCTATTTTCTTATTTTCTGTTTGTAGGCCAAATCTAACTTGAAAGGTTAGAGAAGGGCAATCAATATTTTTAGAGGTTAACCAGTACTGAAAATCATTCCAAAAAGATCTGGAACTGTCACATGAATAAAAAAGGTGCTCTGTAGTCTCAATATCAGTTTTGCAAAAAGTGCATGTGTTCGTATCTATATTGAATTTCTTATGAAGACAGTCCTTGGACGGGTATATGGCATTTAAAATTTTAAAGTGATTTTCTTTTGCTTTTGGTGGAATTGGAAAAGAGAGATATTTAATCAAGAACCTAAAATTATAGTCTTTAAACAAATATTTTCTTTTTAATTGAGAAGGAAAAAGTTGTTTGGTTAGAATCGTCCTTAAGAATTTATTATTGCATGACTTTCCATTAAATTGACGATCATCAATAACTAAGGATGGTTCACGAATTATAGAGGAAGAATAGGTTAAACTGGCTTTAGCCATCTGAATCATTGCAGGGGGAATGGCTTTCACAACTTTAATGAATTTACTTTGAGTACATGATACGCCATAATTATCTATGAATTTATTGTACGATAATACATTGCCATCATTGTCTAACTAGTGTAAAGCCGTCAGCAGCAAGTTGCAGCAGCACGTCTTGCTCGCTTATGCTGCTGCTTGGCCCTCCCCACAAGACGCGAAGCAGCAGGGGAGCAGCTGTCACCGTCAGAGCACGAAGTCACGCGACATTAGCAAAATCACGCGTGACTTCGTCAGTAAACATAACATCAAGCAGGAGTAATCACTTCAGTAATCAACCTTTTGTCGTCCATTATGGAAAAACAAAGGAGACCACAAGCTAGGTGATAACTTTTTAAAAGTAAAGCAACCGGAAGGCAGTACTTTTCTTTATTCTGAAAGTCTCGGGAAGCTTCGCTCTGTTTCCGTGTCCGATTTCCTGTCTTTCCTTCCCCAAAAATGTCGAACATGGCCCGTTACAGAGGTGTAGCACGTAGAAAATAGAACCGGTGCGTAAGGGCTGCTCCTGAGACGCGTGGAAAGGAGGGGTGACAGCGTTGTGCGGAGCAGCAGCGCACCATGGGTTTTATAGGGTTTCTGGGTCAAATGATGGTCTAACTGTAGGCAAGTGTTATCTAACTAGAACTGTCTACCTCCACTATTGATAAAGAGAATTTTCATGCTCACACATGCACATACAACCAAAGACTTACAAAAATGCACACCGGACACCCACTCATGCTCTCCATACACACCCTATTCACTCTGGTCCCGGTACTGCTGCACATTGGGTACAACCATTACCGGTCACCAGAGTTTGACCCTTTCTGCTGGGGTGCTGATGAGCAGGCTTCCCCGCCCAATGCTGAGCACAGCAACCCACCACCCCAGACCCCAACCAGACGGCTAGATCCTCCTCCTAGCCTCCAGCCCCAGGAAGCCAAGCAACAACAGAGGTGTGCTAAGACCCCTAGTCTCCCTCCGCCTGCTCCAGTATAGTGTTGTGTGTTGATGAGGTGTATTCCATGGCTGTGGTGAGCGGGCAGTGTGGGCATTGTCTGGCCAATGCCAGCTGATGCCACCGCACCACCCCACTTGCACCCACAGCCTTCGGTGTCTAAGTGCAGTTTAAAATTGGAAGTGGGCACCGACACTCGGGAGGAGGCTGAGAAATCCCCCTGCCAAGTGCCGTTGAATGTGCTGACTCCCAAGGCCCTAAGTGTGTATTTGCGTGGAATGTCGTCAGTGGAAGCGTATAAGGTGCAAATAAAATTGGGGGGCAGGTTGCCACAGGAATGCCGGAAATGGGGTCCATACCCGCACTCCCTGACTTGTCCGCCCCCAAGGTCCTATGTGCATGTTTGTGTGATGATGTGAGGAAGCAGGAGGAGAGAAATATGCAGGGATGGGGAGGAATGGCTGGTTGGGCTTTGCCCTCCAGGGAGCCAGCTCCCCCACTGGCCCCAGTAAGCACCTCTGTTGTCAAAATGCCACCCAGGGCATGGAGACCCCAGCCCATCTTGCCAGGGCCCAAAGCAGCAGCTTTGCAGAGCCTCACAGAGTCCGAGGGCACCAACCCAGCCCCACCCCAGCAGAATATCTATGCCCATCCCTGCATTTGCACAACTTCCAGAATATATAAGAGATGGGACATCCAGGTAAGGTTGGGTCCTCCCCCTCCTGGACCTCCCCCTCCCCTGTGATGGGACAGCAGAGAAGCCAAGGTCTACCCGAGGCCCCTGAACCCGGGCCAGGCACTGCTGCATGTTCCTGCCTTCTTCCCAGCAGCATACATGTCAGGACCCGACCCCCAAGGCCCCGCCCAGATCCCCACACGATGCCGGCCACCCCCACACCCTGAGCCCCCAGGCCCCCACCCAGACCCGCCCAGGGGCAATGCAGCTGCCAGGCAGTGACCCATGGCCGCCGCCAAGACCTCAAAGGGGCCCCACTCACAACCGCCAGTAGTCCACCCCTCGAGGCAACCCAAGCACCTCCAGAGGGCGGCAACGGCCCCCCAGTCCCAGACACCCCCAGTGAACCCACCTCCAGGGAATGTCCAGATACTCCAAACTCAGACCCTGCACCCCCCCCCCCCCCCCCTCCCACCCACATCATCCCGCAGGACAATATAAATGGTCCCCCGTCATCGCTATGTGATGGAACTGATCAAAGGAGCCCAGAGAGATTGATTTGAAGTGGAAGCAGAGGCTAAATCAAGTGCAATTTGATCTATCAAAAGATTTCTATACTGGTTAATTTAGAGAGATTCTCTATTTTTCCAATTCAAGAGGATAGTTTTCTTAGCGATGCATATGGCAGTCAGAACCACGTGAACCAAAGATGTTTCAATCGGGACATCGTCCAGCTTCCCCAGTAAACAAAGAGAGGGGGAATTTGGGATATGACATTTCAGACATTTTGACAGATCCTCACATACTCTACCCTAAAATTCCTGGACAGGTGGACAGGACCACTGTGTGTGAATGTAATTGTCAGGAATGTTGTTTGTGCAGTGTGTACAGGTGTCAGACGACACAAACCCCATCTTGAACATCCGATGACCTGTATAGTGTACTCTGTGTAGAATTTTGTACTGAATTAATTGTAAATTGGGGTGTCTGATCATTTAAAAAGTTTTTAAACAAGTTTGGGACCAGAAGTTCTGGTCAGAGCTGATTGATAGATCCACCTCCCATTTTTCAATAACCAGTGTTTAGCTTTAATCAAAAGAAAAGAACATTTGATATTATGAAAGAAGCATTTTTCCACACAATTTCGGCTAAAACATAACACACATAAAAAATAAATCACGTTTTCTTGAATATCGTGTTTCGTAGCCATGAAGATGCTTATAAATCTGAGTTGTCTGGGTACAGCAGAAGGTTTGTGAAATAGCGATTTGAACTTAATCCCTTCAAATAAAAAAAATAACAAAACATTAGTATGAATTCTTTTTTTCTTTATCCTTATGAAATGTTGGATGGTGTAATAGATCACTGCACAGATCTGATAAATATATTATGTGATGTTGTGTAGATCCGTTTTAGAAAACATCTCTTTAGTTGTTCGAAGTCCAAATCCTGGATTTTTTTCTACTGATACTCAGTAGCTCCTGTTCAGCAGAATGAAGCATTCACAAAAATACAAGCATAATCCAACAAAGAAACAGTCAGGATGACTGCTTGTCAGTTCAGCAAAAAGACTTCTTCTTGGCTGGCAAAAGTGATCTGAAAGCATCTGAAAAGGAAGTTGACCGAGATGACTCATGGAAGAGATATTCTGGTGTGGAGAAGAGGGAACATAAGTGTACTTCAGCTGAAATGGACACTCATCCCTTTTGTCAAGCATTGGCTGTGAACAGAACCCAACAAGTGTTTACCAGAGTCGTAACGGAACCAAACCGGTCTAGTTTAGCCGGTAATGAGGGCCCGGCGCAGCAGTTAGTCAGGCTCTGCTGCTCCTATCTGAGCACATGTGTGTTTTTACAGAAACAGCAGATTTTACAAACTGCTACAGCAAAGAAGCAGGAAGTCTAGATAATGGCTGTTCAAGGAAACAATGCCATCCAGATAATCACTTTATTGTATGCAAATATTCTCCATGTCTTCATTACAGGTAGATGCCTAAATGCATTGATGACCTGGAAAGATTTTTGCAGTAACAAACAACCACACAGTTGTACTGTATGGCGGGCATGTGAGTGTATTTGAACTCTGACTGCTACAAGTCTCCCAAATCCAATGTGATTAGAGCTGCTAGCGTTCTAGTAGCAGGATAGGGCAGCCTCAGCATCTCTGCACACCAGGTCAGTGCACCAAAGGTTTATCTGTGCACGTCGCTTCCTTCTCATGTAGAATAACAGAGATGTCTTTCTGCCTGATGAGGCAAACCTGTTCATCTTTATTCTACAAATATTGTTGTTGAATTCCTAAGAAGCGCCGAGGTGTTTGGTATCCCATCAAAGGAAGAGGAAACAGGTGTTAAAGTCTAACATAAACATTCACAAAAAATGGTGGAAAGTTCAAGGTCTTTATGAAAGAAGAAGAAAAAAAAACTCTAAAGTTTGGGTCCTGGTTCTGTTTATCTATTAGTTTCATTTAGGTGGGAGTCAGGTAAAAATAACCTTTTAGATATTTGGGCAAATTACAAAAAGTGTCAAACAGTATCACATTCAAACTAACAACACACACGTGCAGCAGTGAGAGCAAATAAAGTAAACCCCAATTTAATTGTTTTAACTAGGCTTTTAAATTACTGGCCTGTTGGATAATTTCTTTCATTATTTATTTTTGGTAAAATAAATGGGATGAGTTTTCCAGTTAAAGTCTGAATGTTTCTGTATGGTCTGCAGTAAACAGTGTGTCTCATGTCTCTCTTCTGTTTGAATTCTTTCACTGAACAGCACTCGCTGCCAACTGCAGCCACTTCCGATGACACACAGGAAGTGAACCACAGGTAACTAAATTCTGTTGAATTCTGTATCAGTAGGTGCTACTTAAGCAACTGCTCTTTATTAAAAGTGGTATCATCCAGTGAAATGTTTCATTATCTTACCTGCAGCAGCGAATTCTCCTGACAGAAAATCCATATTTACACCAGAGAAAACAGACATATTTATTATGGAGTTTATTATTGTTGGTTCAGATTTGTTTTATCCTGCTTGTTTTGTTCCAGCTCCTCTCTCCACACCATGGGCGGACTTACATGAGCAGCAGCTAGTGGTATTTGGTTAGTTGGGCCTCTAACAGCTGATTATTCCATGCCCAATTAATAAAGATCAGCCTGTCTTTCATCCAGTTAATGCAACTAAGGAGGATATATTCAAAGTCATTACAAATTTTAAATGCTCAAAAGCAAAGGATGCACTGGAAATGTACTCATTTTTTTTTCTCAAGACCCACATTGAAACATTAGTCCCACCAATTACATTAATGGTTAACCAGTCTATGAGCCAGTCTAGAGTTCCCTCCTCTTGGAAGGAGGCAATTGTTACACCAATATTTAAGAACGGGCTATTGACCTATTAGTATTCTACCCATTGTTTCAAAAATTGCAGAAAAATGGATGAGGGTCATTTTCCATTGGCCCACATGTCAGTTTGGTTTTAGGGCTAGACATTCCACTGAAACAGCTATTTGTTTATTCATAGAGCTGGTCAAAGGTCTATTGGATACAAATTCATGTGTGGGAGCAGTATTTTTACATCTAAAGAAGGCCTTTGATTCTGTAAACCATTCAATTTTATTGAATAAGCTCACTTATTTCAACATCTGCAGTGAATGCATTCAGTGATTTAGATCATATCTCAACAACAGAACACAATGTGTAACTGAACGGTGTCAGATCTGCATCTGTTACTTGCGAGGTTGGATTTCCACAAGGATCTATACTGGGACCAATACTATTCTCTTATTTACATAAATAACTTACCGACCGTATGCCCTGAACTTAACACAGTTATATATGCTGATGATGCTGTGATTTTTGTTCAAGGTAAGGACGAGAAAATTGTTGCAGAAATGTTTACAAACGCCATGTCTAAAATCCAATCCTGGCTTAGGAAACACCGTTTGTCCCTGAACACAAAAAAATGGCGTGCATGATGTTTACAAAAAAACCTGTAAAATCTGCTCTGGTTAAGAAAAGAAAAACACGGTCTGGGTCTTCAGTTTTCCTGGAAGCTGAGAAATTGGAGTTGGTCACAAATTATAAATACCTGGGTGTCACCTTGGACTCTAACCTTACATTAAAAAATTGTTTTTTTAAATCAAAAACTACCATCCTATCACATTTGTAAGATTTTAAGAAAATATAACTTTCAACCTTTGATGATTTCATAACTTTTTCATAGCTTTTAACTGAATTTTTTGTAGTACATAAGGGGAATTTATGGAGTTGAGTTATTCACATATTTTAGTTTTCCTTGTTTCAATTTTTTTTCTGTATTGTTTTATCTTATTTTTTTATTGTAATATCTGTGCTTTATGTACAAGGGATTACAGATGGAAACTAGCTTTTAGCTAATTCTGGTATATTTAAGTCTTGTACGATTAATCTGCATTGTCCCATTCAAATAAATAAATTCAAATCCAAATTCTAACTGCAGACTCTAAATTGTCCCTGTAGGTGTGAGGAGGTGTGACTAATTGTTTGTCTCTGTGTCTCCTTGCTGGACTGGAGATCTTTCCAGGGTTTCCCCTGCCTCTTACCTAATGAATGCTGGAGATAGACACCTGCTCCTGATGACCCTGATGGATGAACTTTGAAGTTGTGTATGTCTTTTTTTTTTCTCTGCACAGAAAAACATGTCAGGACATAAAAACTGCTGTATTATGGCAAACTTCCGCATTGAAAAGAAAATTGGTCGGGGTCAGTTTAGTGAAGTCTACAAGGCCACGTATCTGCTGGATGGACAGCTGGTGGCGCTCAAGAAGGTCCAGGTATGGTGCTCAGCTCCATGTAGACTTCTGGTTCTGAACTCAGAGTTCTCTTGTCAGTGACCATTACAGAATCTGTTATTACACTAATGATACTGGTATCAGTAAAAGTTACCCGATACCATTGCAGCTACCTGAAAGTGGCTTCGCTGTAACTAGTCATTTCTGTTCACCTAATATTTTAGTTTAGTGATCATTTCTATTAATATATTTTATTTTTATCTACCTTACAGTCATTTCCTGTTGAAAGCAGAGAAAAAAATAAAACCTGTATTTCAATTCAGTGCATTTTTTTGTGTGGTAGAAGTATCGGTATTGGCGATTAGTCCGATCCAAGTTTCGGTATTGTAGTAGTTTGGAAAAAAGTGGTATCGGTGCATCCCTAATTCTGATTTTACACCAGTCTGACTGATCTGAGGGTGTTCTATTATTTTGAGAAGTAGGAAATGCTTCAACACCTTATGTGTCTTGGTCAGAAAAACTCAGATCTAGACAGAGAAAAATAAAGTAATAAAAATTAAATCTTTCCCTTTGCAGATTTCTGAGATGATGGATGCAAAAACCCGTCGGGACTGCATCAAAGAGATCGATCTCTTAAAGGTAAAGTCTACTAAAGCAGCTGTTTTCAGTGTGTCAAAGAGAAAGAGCAGCAGTGTCTGTCGCACTAACAGTTTAAGCTGATTTATACGGCACCAGTTATCAGTCCAGTCATCTCAGGGAACTACAGGAAGTTGGAATAAATAGATCATTTACATTTGAAAACGAAAATGTCTGTATTTTCTAAGGAATTCCTCTGTCAGCTGTTTGTCTCTCATTTTGTAATAAAATTTTTGTCACATCATCAAAAATGCCTTTACAGCTTTGCAGTAAAAATCCAAACTTAAAGAAACAGAGATTTAGGGTTGAAGCAATGCGAGTGGTGCAGAGGTCTGGAATGTCTCGGAAAAGTCGGAAATGACTCATAAGGTCCACATATGTTGTAGAAAACTCAAAAGTAAGTAAAAGTGGTTGTTGGTGTTGGAAATGACTCAACCCGTACCTTACTGTGAGAGCGTGTTCATGGCAGTGCTGTGGTTTTTATACCTCACTCTGACTCTTTCATCCCACACGTTAGAACCAGTTCCAACTTTCTTTCAGCCTGAATGAAACAGCATTAGTTTAGAACTGAGCCTGTGTGTGTATATATATGTCGATGGTGTAAACATGAATTACGTAGTTGTGGACAAATGAATCAACAGCGCCCCCTAGAACCCTCGCCACCAATCAGCCTGAGACCAAACCTGACATAAATTAGATTTATTTCTTTGTAGCACTTTGAGATGACTTGGGTCATAAATAGGTGCTTTATCATTTAGCTGATTTGAATGTTTTTGTTTTTATTGTGTCAAGGGGCTGAAAGTATGTGGCCTGCAGGTTGTTTTTAACAGTCTAAACATTGTTCTGTGCTCTTCTGAAGGCATTTCTTAGACCCTGAATCAGTTTGAAGGCAGGTGAATCTGAAAACACAACTAAAGGATCTGTTTGTTCACTGCAGCAGCTAAATCACCCTAATGTGATCAAGTACCTGGACTCCTTCATTGAAGGCACCGAGCTCAACATTGTTCTGGAGCTGGCAGATGCTGGAGATCTGTCCCAGATGATACAGGTCAGAAACTACTTCCTGGAGCACACAGACGTTACTAACCACAACAAAGAGAGCAGAACTCGTAAAAAGTCCTGTCTGCATATTTTAGTTAATCAGCCACAGTAGCCTGCAGCTCTTAAAAAGGTCCGTCAGTGAGAAACAATTTTTACTTATTATTTTTGAAAATGATCCGTCATTCCAGTCAACATTCAGGCTGAACATGAATATAGTCTCCTACACCTATCTCCTGCATTAGCTTCTGATAGAAAATAGGTGGTAAAACTCTAGGATTAGAAAATCCGGACAGATCTTCATCACACTGTCACTTAACATTCATGGACTCACCCATCTTGACTCACGATGGGGAAGGCTGTTGTTGGTTTAGGGTCCAGGAAACAGCAGAGAATGTTTCAGCTAGTAGAAGCTAACCATTAGCAACTCTACCACACAGCAGAACTCCTTCAGGCTTGTGTTATTTGTGCAGCTAAAACATCAACGTTGCAGAACAAAATCACTGGGAGAGTCATGTTGCTGTTAGCCAATCAGAGGAGAGATGTCTTAATATCCGAAAAAAAGACTCCTAATCCTGTCGTCTGAAGCGACTTTATTTTCTGGCCGAATTATCTGTGCTGAATCGTGTGCACCAGAGCTTTCTTTCCCCAGAGTACTACAAGGCATTCATTCCTTCTAGAGACCACAGCAAATGTAATAAAATATTAGTGAAGGAGCTCTTTAACTCTGATCATTCAGGAGAATAATATGCTGAATCAGACTTTCACCAGATTTACACTTCAAATCTGTTGATTCTTCCATCCTTCAGTACTTTAAAAAGAAGAGGCGACTCATCCCAGAAAGGACCATCTGGAAATATTTTGTGCAGCTGTGCAGTGCCCTGGAGCACATGCACTCACGCAGAGTAATGCACCGTGGTAAATACCTCTGAACAAATTCACTTCCTCTCATCACTGCATTCCCATTGTGCTGTTTCTCTATCTTCACTGAGTCTTCTCAGTATGGTATCAAACGTTTTTCTCTGTTTTTCTTTTTGCTTGTTTCTACTGTCAAATTTCAAACTCAGAAATATAATATCTGCTAAAACAATCTTACAAGTTAACCTATCAACACCGACGGACATGCATTCCTGGGAAAGAGAAGGCTCCGTTTTACGTACAGAAAATAACAGAAGTGGTCTGGTCTTCACCAGCTTCAAAACAATTCTAATCCAGCCCTGAGTGAAGAGAACAATGGTTTAACCACGTGTACCTTAGTAAAACATAATAAAAGGGTTTTATTAGCCAATGCATGCTTACTCGTGGATCTTACTTGTTGTAATAATGACCACAGGGAAGCTCAAATTACTGTGGATATATTCATAGATGTTTACTAATCTGGAAATGTGTTTGAATAAAGGGTTCCAGGTAACTTTCACAACAAAATGTGTTATCTGATGACTCAAGTTGAGCTTTTACTCGTATATAAATATAAAATAAAATGAACTGATTTACTCAAAAGGCTGATTAAACAGTAGTAATTTAAAAGTAAATGTTTTAAATTATTAAAGTTAAAATAACAATTTATTAAGAGTATCATAATATTTGACCAGACCAGAAATAACTATTTTAGGTCTTAATGAAGAGGAGTTTGATCCTACGTTATGACTTTTTTTAAATCTGGAGTGAATAACGTCAACCTTTATTAAATAAACTCTTTAATAAATAACGTTGATGAATCCAGTTTTATTGTAACTGAAGAGTGGTGATGGAAATAGTTATCCATCCATCCATCCATCCATCGGGTCACGGGGGCTAAAACCAATGCAGGGAGGCCCAGTCTTCCCTCTCCCCAGCCACTTGGGCCAGCTCCTCTGGGGGAAATCCTAAGGTGTTTCCCTGGCCAGCTGTGAAACATAGTCCCTCCAACGTGTCCTGGGCCTTCCTTTAGGTCTTCTCCTGGTTGGACGTGCCTGGAAAACCTCACCAGGAGGCATCCTAACTAGATGCCTGGCTCCTCTCAATGTGGAGGAGCAGCAGGTCTACACCGAGCCCCACCCAGATGACTGAGCTTCTCACCTTACCTCTAAGGGAGAGCCCAGCCACTGTGCAGAGAAATCTAATTTCGGCCGCTTGTATCCACGATCTCATTCTTTCGGTCACTACCCAAAGCTTGTGACCATAGGTGAGGCTAGGAACATAGATCGACCGGTAAATCGAGAGCTTCTCCTTCCGGCTCAGCTCTCTCTTCACCACGACAGATCGATACAACGCCCGCATCACTGCAGATGCAGCACTACGCAGCACACACCTATCGCTCCAACTTTCCCTCACTCAAGAACAAGACCCTGAGATACTTAAACTCCTCCACTTGGGGCAGGACCTCATCCCTGGAGAAGGCATTTTACACTTCTAACCAGAGAAATGACAAGTGAACCTGAATAAATGTTTAGCTAAGTCTTGAGCTTATTGGAGTGTGAGTGTGTGTGCGTGCGTGTGTGTGTACGTGCATGTATGCATATGTACTGACCAAGACATTTTACACCTTTTAACAGTTCACAAACATTCATGGAACAGGATTGTTATTAAACTGTTAAAAAGTATCCATAAACCATCACTCACTCACTCACTCACTCACTCACTCACTCACTCACTCACGTACCTACTTGATTCTACAGATCACAGTGAGCACTCCCTCTCAACCATCTTTGATATTTCATCAGCTCCATAGAGTTGTATTTATTTATTTTTATATGATCTACTTTTGCAAACAGATATCAAGCCAGCCAATGTGTACATCACAGCCACAGGGGAGGTGAAGCTGGGGGACCTCGGATTAGGACGCCTTTTTAGTTCTAAAACTACCGCAGCTCATTCTTTAGGTAAAAACACACACACACACACACACACACACACACACACACACACACACACACACACACACACACACACACACACACACACACACACACACACACACACACACACAAAGATAACAGTGTTATGATTTAACTTTGTTGAAAATGCTTTGCTTTCTGTACCGTTTGCATGTACTGAACTTGGAAAGAGAGCTTTTGCCCACTCAGCGCCACCAGCTTGGAATGAGTTGCAGGCAAAATGGAAGATGAGTTCAGAGCCAGAAGAGTTTATTTAGCTGAGTGTTTTAAATCCAAACAAAGAAATCTTGAGAGCAATTCACTGACATGCAACAGTTTTATTTAGATAGTTTAAAAGTTTAAAATCTACTTGTTTTGTAGTTATTTTTTATTATATAGTTTTTATTATTTATATGGGTCTTAATTGAGTAAACTTTGTTTCTGTATATTTATGTGATGTTTGCTGCAGTACTCCCTTGAAAAAGAAGTTTTGAATATCAACTTGTCCAGGTCCAGGTTGCTGGTGCAGAAGCCCGACAGTCTAATTGGTTACCCTCAGATAGAAAAAGCATGCAAAGCCATTGCAAAATAATAAGTACACAGGAGTAGATTTTTGGAGCCACTAAGTAAAATGTACTTAAGTGCAAGTTACTATAACTAAGGCATCTGTCTGGTCGTGCCCAGGACATGGCTTAAGGGCGTTCCCAGTGGCTGTTCCGTCTGTGGAACGTCCTCCCAGACCACCTGAGGGCCCCACAGATGATGAATGCTTTTAAAAAGACCTACCTTTTTACTCTGGCCTATAGCTAAATATGCTGTTGTTTTATTGGTTTATATTTACATAGATTTTTTTTTATAGTATTCTGTGTTTAAGTCTTGTTTTTTAATGCATTGTAGCACTTTTGAGTTTTGGTATCAAATGTAAAGTGCCTCAAATGGCAGCCCTCGTGGTCTGCCTGTATCTGTTTTCGCTCTACATGTTTTGTGTGTGTAACCTTGGTCAGGCTGTACTGCGGAGTCAAATTTCTGTGCTTCGGGACGCTGGAGCACTGACAATAAAGCTGATTCTGAAATAAAATTTATTATTATTATTGGACAAATCAGTAACAATTATGTAGACATTTGCTTAAATAACTAGCATTCTGAGTTGTATAGACTTAAGCAGTAGTAATTGTAAGCAACATTTAAGTACTTTGTTCTGTAAATTCTGCACTTATAGTAACTTGCATTTAAGTGCATTGGACTGTGGGCACATCAGTGGCTCCAACAAATTATCATCTACTCCTGTGTACATATTTTAAAGTGCAATCGGTTTGTATGCTTTTTTTTTCTCAAATATGGGTAACTATTCAGATTTTACAGTGTAGCAGGTAAGCCTACATATAGATTTATACACTGTCTGGCCAAAATATAAATTGACACCTGGATTTAACTCAGCAAATAAGAGCATCCTATTGGATAATTACTGCATGGGCAATTATCTTTCAGCTGGCAACTAATTATTTAACCCCAACTGGTGCAATGAGTTGCTTCTCATTTCTTAAACAACCACGTGGAAAGAAACATCTGGTGGTTGTGGAGAAAATGTTAGACTGTTTGAGAAGGGTCAGATCATTGGGATCAAGCCCATGCATCAAGCATAGAAAACATCTAAGGTGATTGCAGAAACGACAAAAACTGGGTTAAGAACTGTCCAACGGATTATTAAAAACTGGTCCGATGAGTCCAGATGGACCCTGTTCCAGAGTGATGGTGCATCAGGGTAAGAAGAGAGGCAGATGAAGTGATGCACCCATCATGCCTAGTGCCTACTGTACATGCTTGTGGAGGCAGTGCTATGATCTGGGGTTGCTGCAGCTGATCAGGTCTAGGTTCAGCAACAGGATGTGCTCCAAGAATCAGGTCAGCTGACTACCTGAATATCCTGAATGACCAGGTTATTCCATCTTCCCTGATGGCTTGGCCACATTCCAAGATGACAATGCCAGGATTCATCGGGCTCAAATAGAGAAAGAGTGGTTCAGGGAGCATGAGACATCATTTTCACACTTTGACTGGCCTCCACAGAGTCCAGAGCTTAACCCCATTGAGAATCTCTGGGAGGAGCTGGAGAAGGCTTTGTGCAGCGGTCAGACTCTACCATCATCAATGCAAGATCTTGGTGACACATTAATGCAACACTGGGTGGAAATAAATCTGGTGACGTTGCAGAAGCTCATCGAAACAATGCCACCGCGAATGTGTGCTGGTATCAAAGCTAAAGATGGTCCTACGAAATGTTAGTGTGTGACCTTTTTTTGGCCAGGCAGGATTTGGAGAGGCTTTATAATTACATTAGGAATTGTTTACAATAATAGGGTATATGTTTTACTAAAGCCACCAATTGACAGGAAATGACATAAAATGTAAGAAATATTGTATTCAGGTGTCCCAGAGTAGATTAATTATATATTGAGGTGTACTTGTCTGCTACAGTAAACTGCAAGTACATTTCTATTAACTGCATTTTCCAGTGGGAACACCTTACTACATGTCCCCAGAGAGGATCAATGTGGATGGATATAACTTCAAGTCAGATATCTGGTCCTTGGGGTGTCTCCTGTATGAGGTAAGGTCCTCCCACCACTAGGACTCTGATGGTGCTAACTGTGAGTCTCTGACATGGACATAGAGAGCTTGGGTCCATCTCAACACCTTCACATAGAAGCTGAACAATCTGTGTTTATTATTACTGTACAGACTAACTAGCCTAACTAGGCTCCCATGGAGCGGAGATAGAACATCCTGCAGAGCAAAAGGATCTAGATTTCTAGGCTACAAAGGAACAGTATTTATGGTGGATTATGTGGCATAAAAAGGGGGAAATAACTGGAACAAATTCAATAAGAAAAAAATAAACAACTAAGAACTTTCACTCATCATGTATTGCCCTCACCCCACAGATGGCTGCCCTACAGAGTCCCTTCTATGGAGACAGGATGACCCTTGTGTCTCTCTGCCAGAAGATTGAGCTTTGTGATTACCCTCCTCTTCCTCCTGACCATTACTCTGAGAAGGTCATCTACTATTATTGTCATGATTACAATTAGTGTTCATAAAGCATGCGCACATCAGAGGATGAAATGTTTTATTCCTGTCAGATTGAAGCTCTTGGATTGGTATGATTGTGTCCTCTTTCTCTCAGCTGCGAGACCTGGTCAGCATGTGCATCAACCCAGACCCGGACCAAAGGCCTGACATTGACTTTGTGCTTCAGACTGCCAAACAGATGCACATGTGGAGCTCCAGTAGCTGAACTCCACTCATCATCTCTGCTTCCTCTGAGGAACTGGACCCACATGATGGGAGAGATGTCTGAAGCTGTAGAAATCTGCACCATTTCAAACAAGTGGAGCGTTGTGTTTCCATTATTACTTGTCATCATATCAAGTCCAAACTAAAAAGACAATGTGTGGCTTTGACTCAGACAGGTTTATGTTAGAGGGACTTTAATGAACTTTGACCTTTTGTAGATGGAGGCTGGAGAATTCTGACAAATACCTGACTGGTAAGTATGGTTGGTTGGTTTTCTCGGAGAATGAAAAGTCTAATAGATGCTATTTAATTATTTTTTTAAATTAGACTTTTAAATAACCAGGAAGAACAAAAGTCTTATTTAAACTGTGATTTGGTAAAAGGCAGGGCCTTGTTAGGGAGGATAGGGGGTTGTAACATACAACATGTAAAATAACAAATTATACAATAATCAATATACAGATTTCAACATTTAACAAAACACGATACACACAAAGGGTGGAGCAGCCATAGATGATGGGCAGTTAGTGTGAGTGATGCCAGCATGCATCTTTTAAAATGATCGGTGCGTGAAAAGCAGCCTTAGAGGAAAGTCCATGGGTTTTCTGTAGATCAGCTGAGTTTCTGGCTGCAGCAGACTGGGAGGACAAGCCTGATGCACACATAGATTTAGGAACTGTTGAGTTTCTAAAGGAGTGGTTGCGACAAATCAAATAGTGGTAGAGAACGTCTCGCTTTTGAAGCTAACTTTTGCACGCTGAAGTGTAAACGACAAACAAGGATAGTCGTTTGCATTGTTTTCTTAGAAGAAACAAGATGAGTTTTATTTGATTTCATCTTAATCTGCAAATTGTAATCGTGTTTCTAAAAGGACAGCGCATTGAAGATTAGTGGTTTCTAACCCTTTTTGCTTGAGGACCCCTCCTGCCCATGTCCAAGACAAGCCAGGATTTCCAACCACAATAAAAGTGATGAAAAACTCTTATGCAGTGTACAGCACGTTGATTATATAATTGGAATTTTACAAATGGAATCTTAATAAACCACAGGTCTAGATAGTGATACTCAGATGAACTGTTTACAGCTGGCAGAGAAAATATTATCTGGGTGGACCTTGAGCCATCCGACGTTTTCTAAAACAAGATGAAGCATGCGTTCTTTCAGGATATTTATTATTTTATGACCAGTTTTGTATCTTTGGCTGAAGGCGACCAGCACAGCAAAAGTTAGTTTGTGCTAGAAACAAGCGGATTTGTCTGGTTGGCTTTCCCTTTCTGAGACGGGCTTCAACTGTTACACACCTGAGAGCCAAAGGACTACTTCTGTTTTAATTCTTATTTGGATTCAAAAGTAAAACTATTTGGAAAAGATGGAGAAAGGCAGATTCAAAGTTGTACCACAGATACATTGAGGTTAGAAACATAATTCAGTAATAATCCAAACATGTCACAATTTTTGTACATTGGCTTTTATGCATATTTGTTATGAATCTGAGAGGACAAGTTCCGTCACCGGTTTATGCTCGTCATTTTTCTAAACCTCACTGGGCTGTGACAGATTTCAAACCCAAGGTCACCATCTAACACTGTGATGACTGTCTGATGCAGTTAAACCCCCAGACCAAACATCTGTCTATATATATCTCTTATAGAAAGCACAGAGTTGTATTTTCTGTTCATATGAGAAGCTAAAACAAAAATGTTTATAAATCCTTACTTTTTAAAATCTCCCTTTTCCTTACTAAAAATCCGGCATGTGTACGTACGCGCTCAGGAGGGACCAAAAACTATTTCATAGACTTGCCAACAGAGTGACTCATTTCACACAGGAAGCTGTTTTCATCCAGATGTTTTATTTCAAACAACAAAAACAGAAGCAAACTATATGAATTTAGAATCAACTTTTATTGTAAAATGTGTCAAGAGTCGTGAGGGGAGGCGAGTTTTAGGAGGTGTCCATGGTTTGGACGGACTCCTCCACCAGCTCCAGGTCCAGTGGGTTCACAGCCTTGGTCAACACAGTTGTTGTTCCTCTTCGGTATTTGTAATCACCCGTTCTACAGCCAGGACAAAAGAAACCGTGTTTCAGTTGTTGAGTCTATTGTGATCATTTTAGACAACAGATTAAATGTGTGTAGGCACAACACGCAGCTTGTTTCATCCTATTGACACAGCAGAGCACGCTGGGTAAGTGCAGATGTGTTTGTGTTAAATTCAGACGAGTTAGTCTACAACCTACAAAACACTCCATCTACTCACAGCTGCAAGGCTCCATCATTTAGTCTTCAAGCAAAATAAGCAAGAGAACGAGTCACTGATGCACATTAAACATTAGAGTAGCACCCCCATACCAATGACCCAGAAGCTGTTGCAACATTTCAACGGCTGATATTCAACCAGACAGGAAGAGTTTGGATAACCGGACTGAGGACAAACAGCTCTCACCTGACACCCTTCTTGTTGGCCTCATCGTGGGGCCGGATGTAGTCCACACTGCCTTTAGTGATGACACACAGGTCAATGTTGCTGCCGGAGCCCAGGTCGTTGAAGATGCCTGCTGCGATGGCATCATGCACCAGCTGCTTGGCTTCTCCTTCCTTCAAAAAAACACAGAGGCTCGAGCGAAAGCTAGCACCACATCAGATCAACTCAGGTGTTCACAGCACACAGTTCTAACTCGGACTCATCACAGGTGTGTGACTCACCTCCATGTTGGGCTTGTAGCGATCTTCAAACACAGCCATGGCAGCCAAGGAGCCAGAGCCTTCAGAAACAAACCACCAGATTAAATGTTCACCTTCAGGTTTGGTGCAGTAAAAACATCAACTTACAGCTGTTAAAGCAAGAGGCCGATGGCACCTATAGTTGTTGAGCGTTACAGTGGGAATCTAAACACTTAAAATCACCTTAGTCCCTTACAAACATAGAATTTTATGATGATCGCAGGAAACGGCAGCAATGATGTAATGCACGCTAACAAAGGTTCTGTTTATCATCAACGCCAAGTTTAAACCCTTAAATCTTACAAAACAGGAATTTTATTCAGGAGTTTCACAGACTTCCCCATCAGTAGTCAAACTTTTACTGATTACATCTGTTTAGGGCTAAATTTTACCACCAACATTGAATTAGGAGGTTTAGAATCTGCTACCAACAAGTTATAATCGGACTAGATAGACAAGAAGACTGAACACATACCCAACTTACTTATACATGAAATCTACAGATGAATGTGAATAACGAAAACGAAAGTAAACAAGGGCAGTCAGTTTTGCTTTTGTAAACAGAATCAGCTGAGAAGTGGCGCTTCTGGCCTTTAGACCAGAAGCTCAGATCACCAGCCATCTTTTGGAGCAACTCGTGAAAAAGCTTAAGGATCGCGGCTTTAATCGTCATAAAAAACAAGTTATGTTCAAGCTGAAATGAAGTCTGTGAGTGGAGACGGTCCCTACACCCACTGTGTACTGCCGTCACGTAATCGTTGGTGAAAAACACCTGATCGCTCCATGTTATTGCCACAGGCTGACCACTTATAAACAGCCAAAGGCTCCCTGGTGCTGCCTCAGCTTTGCAGCACAGTAACACCGTAGTTAAATTAAACAGGCTGGAGTTGCAGGCAAGCTTTAATAATCCTTCGATTGCTGGCTGGTTAGGAGGAACAACCACTGGGTTCTTCTCTTCATCTGACCCGGGATGGAAACGTGTAAGGTGCTGCCGCATGCTGGTAGTGAATCTGTTGTATTTTATTGTAGTTGTACACAACTTTCCTTCAATCCCCCTGAGGAGTAAATCCCAAACTCAGTGGCTGAAGCTTAGAAACTAGCTTCGGCAGTCCATCCCCTAAAGTGTCCAGGTGGTACATGCAACTTTTATGATCCTGCCAAGCTTTGCAGCAGTTTTTTTTAAGGATTTATTTCTAGTCGTTTATAAACGTTTACAAATCAATGTTGAACTGGTACGTGTAACATTAAATGGTGAATGGGCGCAACCCTAGAGCTGAAACAACTAATCGATTTAATCGATTATAATCGATTATTAAAATAGTTAACAACTTTTTTAGTCATCGATTAGTTGTTTAATAATCATATTTTACCGCATAAAGTCTATTTTTTACCACAATCTGACATCGGTTACAATCTGTTAAATTTGCCGCCAGTGTGTGGCAGTAATGAGCCACTGATCTACCAGTGGGGCCGTAGAAGAAGAAATGAGCCAATAAGTGCCCTCGGTTTTCATGACGTATCACGTTACTGACGCGCATCTTGCTGTGAGAGATGGCGGATCAACAACAAATACGGAAGAAAAATAGAAGCGACAAAACAAGAGAAACCCCGGACAAAAACCTCACGAGTATGGGAGCACTTCACTAGATGCCTTGAAAAGACCGGTGACCTACAAAATATGCAAAAACCATGGCACGACGGAAGCACGACGTCCCAAAGTGAACATTTGAGACGAAAACGTGGGGGCTGATGCAGCAGAGGAATGTCCGGTAAGTAACAGAAAATAAACAAGCTAACGCAGATCACATTTGGGACTTAGTGTTAGCTGAGTTCGTTATAGTGGATGTTAAACATGTTTTTTTTTTTTTTGCCGCGTCAGTTTACGGTGTTCTACTTCTGATTGACTAGATGCAATCGTGAATCTCCTCCGTGTTGTGAATCATGCGCTTGCCAAATTTAGCACGTCTGTTTATAAGAATGTTCTCGTTAAGAGAAAAACGGCACAAACCCATAACTATGTTCCTCATTCAAAAAAGGACAACTCCGCGGAGAAAAATATACAGACGAGCTGTGTCCAGGTGAATATAATGCGGCATAGTTGTACGCTTTCAATTTTTAAATACAGGAGAAATTCAGAAAGTCCTTTTTTTAACTATTAAAAGGCTGTTTTACTATCTAACGCTGTAAAACGCCTCACAACACATTTTTGTCAAAATAAATGATCACTGTATATTGTTAATTAATTCAAATAATGTAATATTGATTTAGTGTTGTAGTGTGTGTGTGCTGCTTTATTTTATATGTGTACTTAATTCAGTTTATTTGTGTTTCTTATGCAGAAAAAAACAAGCAGCGATGGAGAACTACATGGGGAACAAGACACTCACCCCCAGCAATGCATACCACTTACAAACTCTATTCCAGATTCTACATTATTTTTTATGGAATTTACCTCTTATATTTTGATGCCAAAAAATTATTCTGGACTGATATTTTGCACTGTTTAGCTCATTTTACACTGCTGACTGTGGTCATGTGCAATAAAATAGATTGCAGTCAACTGCACAATTCTCTTATGTTTTTTCTTTTTCTTAACTGAAATGTATTCATCACTTGTATAGGTTAAATAGCTAAACAATAACAAACCGATTAATCGATTAATCGAAAAAATAATCGACAGATTAATCGATTATGAAAATAATCGTTAGTTGCAGCCCTAGCAGGAGAGACTGACCCATTGTTACGTAGGGCAGCTTATCTGTGGAGCCATGAGGGTAGATGCTGTACAGGTGAGGTCCGTTACAGTCCACTCCACCCAGGACCAGAGCAGCACCAATGTAACCCTGATACCTAAATAAACCAACACACACAAATATAGACACACACATACGTTGTGTACTTTTACAGGTCATAATGATAAACCCTTTAAAAGTGAAACTTGAGAAATTAGAATATGGTGGAAAAAGCTAATTTATGTCAGTAATGCATCGTAGAAGTTGAAACTAATACATGAGATACTCATTCCAGGCAAAGCCAGATATTTCAAGCCTTTAGATCAGGGGTCTTCCATTCTGGACCTGGAGGGCCGGTATCCAGCACGTTTTATGGCGCTTACACTTTAGCGTTGGCACGGCCCCATAAGGTATCGAACGGCACCGGAATTTGGTTTCACACGCAGGTCAGATTTGCGTTATCTGTGCCGAGGCAACTCTTTTTCTCAGACTTTCTCCCCAGAGGTCAGACTGGGACTGAGGCGACACTACGGACTAAAGCCGGGCGTACACTGTGCGACTTTTTCACTTTTTTGAGCCGATTTTCCAGTCGTGCGAGAAGCCACGACATCGGGGCGAGTTTTGCGCCGAGCGGTCGTGTAGTGTACAGGGGGTTACAAGAGGCGATTAACACCACGTGATCAGCCGCCGATCAGCAGTCGTGAGGTCGCAGGGACTTCTGGTGTGTTAAATATTTCGCTCGTCCCTCGTGAGGGTATCGCACTGTTGAAGCGGCGCTGCGAGCAGCTACGATCCAAAAAGTATCAGAACCGCTCACGGCGCATGCGCGCGCGATCCTGCATCAACGCCGGCCGGTCGCTCGCTATTTCCCTAATAACACACGCTGTGCGTTTTTGTTTCTACACGTTTTTTTTACTCACAAAGATTGTCAAGAAAGCGTGTGTCGTGTTCATGTCAAATTAAACTGATCACAAAACACAGATTTACTTTCTTTATTTCGTTTCCTCATCCAACCCCCATAAATCCCTGTGTGTCCTCCTGCAGCACTCCCGAAGGACAACAGGCAAGACAAAAAAGTCTGACGTGTTGAGTAAAAACTGCTATTTTTAGCACATTTTTAGGGCCGACGTGTTGCTACCAGACGTACAGTGTGAGCAGTCAGGTCGCATGCGAGAACTGGGTCGTGCAGTGTGAGCACACGACTCGTGAGATCTGCTCTGCGAGGAAGTCGTACAGTTTGAGCTGAAGCTGAACGCTGCGAGTGAAAAAGTCGCACAGTGTACGCCCGGCTTAACTGGGAGTTGGTGGTGGTGGGGTGGGGGTGGGGGGGGGGTTGTTCCCACATGCACGATTCATTCTCATGCTGGATGCTGTTGAGTAAACTTCTGTCTGTAGCATGGAGCTGCCGTTAAGTGTGGGAATGGGAGAAAAGAATAGCTGTGAGTGTGTGTGTGCGCCTATTCTCTGCATCGGAGCTCTTGCCCTAGCGACAGCTGCTCAGGGGAGAAATTAGTGTGTGTGGCACAAGATTTTGAGGACACACACAGCAAATTAATAAAATAATGTGGTGTGTGTGTGAGAGAGAGAGAGAGAGAGAGAGAGAAAATAATTTGAAAAAACCTGACCGGAGCGGAGGCAGTGACTGACGCATGCACGAGCCGTTTTCAGCTCTATCTTGTCAAACGCACCACGTACGTTATGAAAAAGTAACTTTGAATATTAAACCGAAAAAGAGGCGAGCCGAAGAAAACCTAGGGAGCACTGAAGAAACGTGAGCAACAGTGAGGCAAGCACAGAGAGATCCGTTACTGTCTGTGTGTGTGCGTGGGCCGAACTGAGCTTCCGACTGCAGAGTTTTGTGTGTAGGGAGGGGCGGGCGCTTTATGTGACTGGCCAATCACAGAGCGTGAAAGCAGTCAGTTACCCAATGAGGATTTTTCTTCAGCACGATTACAGATATTTACGAGTTTTACTCGTTTCATGCTTGTATTCATCAAAAATGCTTTATCCGTACCGTATCGTTTCAGACGAGTATCCGGCTCATCCCTAGCTGTAACCACCCTGCCCTGCCCCGTCAGCCATGGCGGGCCTCCACGGCAATGCCTATGTAAGGGAAACACTGGTTTACCCTATGGAGCGGACTTTCCCGCGCGTATTAAGCGCTGCCCACAGGCTCGGGGATTTACGCATTCCTAAGAAGTCCCTCGGATTTATATGTGAACACTACACCGCCCGCGCCAGCCCAAACTCACGCCATCCAGCTCGACCATGCCGACGCTAATGTGTAAGCACCATTAGTGGTTTCTCTGCTCCAACACACTTAATTCAGTGGTTGAATCGCCTGTGCAGCAGCTCCTCAGGCTCTGTAGAGGCCTGTTAATCACCTGCTAATTGAAATTAGGTGTGTTGAAATAGAATTACAACTAAAACGTGCTGGATACTGGCCCTCCAGGCCTGGAACTGAATACCTCTGCTTTAGATGGTCTCTCAGTCATAGCTGAATTAATGGAATACAGGGACTTTTGCACCATATTCTCATTTTTGAGTTTCACCTGTGTAGGTTTAACAGAAACATCTGAGTCTCTTGTGGATATTTAATGAGTTTTTCTAAAATATGATTTAGCAGATGTTATGTTCCAAAAAAAGAGTTAAACAGAGTTAAACCCAGAGTTGAGCAGTAGACTGTAAACCTACAACTGGAAGACGTACCTGAACAGCATCTGCTTAAGCATGCGATTGGCTGTGGCCACACGTGGCAGCCTTCCTGTAGACAGAGCGTGCAGTTCCAGGTTGGAGGAGATTATCTGAGTGGTCATCTCTGTGTCTGCAGCAGTTCCTGCCCCACAGCAGCTGCACAACAACAGAGTACAGCAGTCAGGGAGGCTCAAAAGCTAATCTTTTAGCACCACAAACTGAAACAAATTGAAGTAAGCTAATTTTTTCACAGTAGATTGATGCATCTGATCTGACCACACAGATCAATAAGATGTCTTATTAAATGTATGAGTAGAATATAAGGATTAGAGGTCAACCGATATTGGTTTTTCTAATGTAGGAGACATGCTCTGCCCATTTTGACTGGCCGATTTTCTTGATATTCAGACATTTTCCACCTTATTTTCATGCCAAAATGTCACTATTAACATCAGTTTATGCACAAAATGTTTGAAGTTGAATCTGTTTGGTACAACAGAAATGCTGGTTCTGATAACTGATGTTTTTATTGGTGGATCTCTAATAAAATCATATCAGAACAAAGCAGTGCAAGCCTTAAAGCCATAGTCGTCACTTACTAAATGTTGGGGGAGATGTAGTGGATCTTGGAGCAATTCTTGTCTGCCACAATCATGCCCTCAGTGGCTCTGGTGTCAGCTCCAAGAACAACGCCATCCTACGAACCAAAACTGCTGTTTGAGTTTTATAAACATTGCAGCACCTGCTGGAATCAGGCTACATTCAAACAGCAGACAAAAGTGGCCCAAGGACGAGAGGAAAACAACAGAGAACAGTGTCAGGGCACATATGCAACGTTCCAGGGTGTACTGGGAATATTCAGACTTTACATGAAAGCCAGATAGAGCCAACGCTTTCCAATTGAGTTATCCAGACACTGTAAAAAACAAAACATAAAAAGTTTCTAGCTTCAGACAGTCATAGAGCCATTGTGATAAACTGGCCAATCAGCATGAAGCTTATTTAATATTTATGTCCTAGCTGGGTGGGCGGGGCAAATCACTCATTCTGCTGTAAAGTCGGGCGTCCACTGTGCAACTTTTTCGCTTTTTTAAGCCGATTTTACCCTCGTGGGAGATTCTACAAGATCAGGGCCAGTTTTGTGCTGAGCGTCATGTAGTACACGGGGTTACAAGAGGTGATTAACACCACGTGACCAGCTACCGATCAGCAATCGTAAGCTCGCATGGAATTCTGACGTGTTTGAAATTTTGCTCACCCCTCGTGGGTAGGGTTGGGCATTGAGCATCAATTGGAAACGGGATCAACTGTTAGTTTTTCCCGAAATCGTTCAAAGTTTTTTATTTTGATTCCTAGAATACCGACCGGAAGAGGAATCCGCGGCCGATCTCCGTGAAAAATAAACGTGATCTGCAAATTGTGATCAACGCTTTTCAGAGCTGATCACACCAGCTGTCTGTGTGCAGCACCGAGTCCCCCCTCCCCCCACCCAGATATAAACAAACGCGTCTGTCGAACTATTACTCCGTAACGTAAACTTTAACTCCTGCAGCGTAGAGGAAACTTGTTCAAATACTTCAACACGGTGGATGTAATAGAAGCTTTAAAGAACAAACTCTGGATGGTTTGAGGTGAGTTTGTCTCACTGCAGAAATAAAAACACACACGGAGCGTCAGCAGTCAGACACAGCCTCTCACCAACACTCGTGTGTGTGTGTGTGAGCGTCAGAAAGCTGAACAATAACCTGTAGAATAATAAATGTCATCATGCTGGAGCAACTTTCTCTGATGTAGACCACAACAGCTTCCGTCGCAAAATAAATAAGTAAATAAATCACACACAAAGTTCTGAACATTTTAATTCCTTTTTGAACTATTTCTGTTGAGTTTTAATGTTTAAAATCTGTTAGATTGTTACTGACAGCAGCTGTATTTCAGTTTCACTTTCTGTTCTGACTGAATGCTGCTGCAGCATGGAGGTGTAGTTCTCAGTCATCCTGGACATGATCATCCTGAGAGTTTTAGCTGAAAACTGTTGGATGTTTCTGGATATGTTGGAGACATTTAGCCTCTCATCCCAGAGGCTTCTTCCAGACTTTGGTTGTGGTCAGAAACAAACACACTGGTTGTGCTGCAAGTGTTTTTCTTTTTTTCTCCAAAACATGTTTTTGTCTGAATGAAGGTGATGTTGATGTTCATAGAATTAATATTCATGTTGAAGTTAAGATAATTTCTTCAAGTAGGACCTGTGGTTAGCTAGCTCATGTAAAACATGTCATGTCTTGAAAGAATCGGAATCGGAAATCAATAGGAACTGGAATCGAAACGAGGAATCAGAATCGTTCAAAATCAAACGACGCCCAACCCTACTCGTGAGGGTACTGCACTGTTGATGCAGCGCTGCGACACAAAAAGTACCAGAACCGCTCACGGCACACACACAAACATGCGTCATCGGAGCTTGCTAGCTATTTCCCTATTAACACACACACACTTCGTTTATTTTTCTTCCTACACATTTTCCCCCGCACACAATGACAAGAATTGTCAAAAAGCGTGTTTATGTCAAATTAAACTGGTCAGAAAATATTGATTTACTTTCTTTCATCTTTCTCACCCAACCCCATAAATCCCTGTGTGTCCTCCTACAGCACTCCCGAAGGACAACAGACATCAACAACACAAAAAAGTCCGGCGTGTTGTGTAAAAACTGCTATTTTTTAGCATATTTGTAGGTCCAATGTGTTGCTAACAGATTTACAGCGCGAGCAGTCAGGTCGCATCCGCGAACTGGGTCGCACAGTGTGAGCACATGACTCGTGACATTTGCTCTGCGAGGAAGTCGTACAGTTTGAGCTGAAGCTGAGTGATACGGGTGAAAAAGTTGCAGCGTGTCCACCCAAATTAAGGCTTTACCAACCACAGAGTTTAATTTGGCCATTTTTTAGAGCTCCTGGCACATTATGAGCCTCCAAAAGTTTCATAAGCTTTATAGAGGCTCGAAGAACAGTTTCCGATTGTAAAAAATAAGTAGCTCTAGAACCCCTTCAATACTTTAAAGAAGAATATTTAAAGCTATAGCTTACATTTAATTTTTATTTTGGGACTTTTTATGAAGTTTCAAGGTAAAATATTTTATTGTGATTAATGAGCAAAAACGTTGAACCAGGTTTTAACTGTGAGGCAGAGGAACACATCTAGATGTTCTCAGTGTTCAGGGGTCTGTCCTACCAGAGGTTACAGCTTCGACCACTCACCTTGAAGACAACACCGCAGATTGTTGTTCCTGTTTTCCGAGCAGCAGGCAGGTTGAACCCCACCTTGTTAGCTTCTCCTTGCAAAATCGCGTTTCTAAAATCAAGTATATCATTACAGCATCATGAGTATTAGGGAGTAATTGTAGACGTTTACATGGTAAAGCTAACACTTTTTTTATAGTAACATTGTTGTGCATTATTATTTCACTACTCTTAAATCTACGGTATTTGTTATTTGTAAATGAAAACATCCTGACAGACAAAAGAACATTTAGTAGTTTTATTCGTATTGGCAGCTCGACGCGGTTATTTGCTCAAACCAGAGGAAATTATCTTTCCCTCCTGCGGTTTCCAGATAACACTAAAAATACTTAAACCTTGATCGCTACAATGAACTCAACGTTTTACAACAGAGACAAATGAAGTTATAAAAGCGTAAAGTCAGTCACCGCCGTAGAGTCTAAAGCCCTGAGTCATTGTAAGGAAGGCGCACGAGCTAGCATCATCTCCAAACCGCTTTACAACACAGCTACACACAACAGCGAGACTCACAGCTAAACCCACGGTGAAGGTTACGGCTGGCGTTATTCTGATGTGGTTTAATTAACTATAAACCATTACCTCTTACAGTTGTCGAAACTGAATCCCCCGAGAGGTGGTAGGCTCACTGCAACCGTCGCCATCTTGATTAGTAGAGGTTTGTGTTTCCGGGAAGTTAAACAGGAAATGAAACTAGGCCGATGAACCAAAAAAAAAAAAAAAAAAAAAAAAAGTCAGACAAAAATCTTTCTCTCTCTAATATATATATATATATATATATATATATATATATATATATATATATATATATATATATATATATATATATATATATGGCTTGCATCAAAATATGATCAAAAAATTTTATCAATAAAAACATACAAATGCAATTACTAACAACAGACCTTCAGTTGTACCCACGGTGATGATGAGCCACACTGTAGCAACATGAGCCCTGGGGCACACTGACAGAAGAAAAGCTTCAATTGATGCTATTAGTCCCTCTGACCACCACCGGGCAAGAAGGGTAAAGTGGACACAAGGACACAACTGGCACAGATGAAGCCTGATAAAGCCTGGGTTTGAACCGGCATCCCATCAGTTACAGGGGGAACTTCTAACACCTGAACCACTACCGCCCCAAGCTACGTATATTCTATTTGTTTTAGGTTATTTCAAGAAAAATTAAATAATGTTACAGTACAAAAAGGCAATGATATTTTTCTGCCATCATACTGTGTCCTTGAGCAATACAGGCACTGACTTGATGCCAGCTGGATGTCAAGGTCTGGTAATGGGCTCAGTGAGGTGGATGAGATCAGATCAGATAGGGCTCCACCAGAGAACAGGAGGAGTGCATTACGCTGATTAGGCCTCTCACTAAGGCAGAAAGGGCAAAACAGGTGGCTGAAGGTGTAAACTGTGGGATCGAAGTGACCAATAACAAAGGTTTAGTGTGCACAAGTTACAACCTGCAGGAAGTCTGTCTGTTTACCCAGTGCACTTGGACTCCGTGTTCCACCAGATTATCTTGGATCAAAATAAAAGCCTCTTCTCTCCATGTCTGTAATAAGGATTTGGAAAGAGTACAGTTTAGTTTTCCAAAATCTCTGCTCCGTTTGAACTTAGCTAATAAACAAGGACATGGATCTCCCAGGTGGAGCTGGAGCGTGTTGCTTGGAAGAGAGGGTCAGACAGTTTCTCCCTTGATCTAAAGTCATAAGAAACTCAGTGGGCCCAACCTCGACATCCTGCCCTGCTAGAAAGTTGTATATATACATATATATATATATATATATATATATATATATATATATATATATATATATAGGACAGAAAGCTGTAGCTGCTGGCTTCTTCAGACATGGTTAAATGTGTTAAAACTCAACAAAGGAGGAGAAATCAGGCACGCTGAACACAGAACTTTATTACCTGAAAGTGAATTAGCTTCCTAAAACCAAATATTATATCAGGCAGAAACTACAAAGAGAAACCAACTCACACAACACATTATTACACAGGTAATCAACCATTTTCTGCATTCAATAATACAGGATCTAAATTTAGCACAAAAACATGACAGGAACTAAAAGTAAAACTAAACAGGAAACTAACCAGGAAGAAGAGAAGGAAACATGGTAATGAGCATCTAAGTATTACAGCAAACCAGTTATTAAACCATCTGAGTTTTGACTCCTGTGAACTCTGTTTGCTGAATATTTCAGAGATCTGCAGTTAAGTTCTTTTGTAACACGGGATGTGTGATGAAAGAATGTTCAGGTCAGGCTTCTGCAAAGATCAGTGAGATGGTTCTGGTCTTTCACAGGTTCTAAATTACTAAGAAAACCTCTGATACTTTGAATTCTTAAAATCTTTAATTGAATTATTTAAAAAACAAAGTACTTGTAAAATATCTGCATCTCTGTCTATTATAAAAGCTGCATTGACGCAAAGCAGGGGTCTGCAAACGAGGCACTGGAGCCACATGGGGCTCTACAGACCTTCCACAATGGCTCTCTATGAATTTAGCTAAAAAGTTATCTAAAAAATAAACCCAAACAAACAAACTTAAATTCATAGATATAGATAGGCTACAGTACGATAAAAACACCAGTCTACGCAGCTTTTCATTTTCTTTCATGGAATAACTGCATCAAATTTCCACAGCAGAATGACATTAAACATATTAGTGATCTACCTTTTTACAAACAGATGTCAACATCCCATAGATAATATCCATACTCTTTTTACTAAAGTATATTTATTCACTTTAAAACCTAATAATAGAGGAGATATTCTGTGTCAGTGGCCATAATTGTCTTCCATAAATTCTAAATTATCATTATTTAAAAGGTCTTGTAACATTTGCTGCTATAAATTAGTTTTATTTTGGTGGACAGGTGGAAAAATGGGTCTTTGGTTTGTAAATATTGCAGACCCCTGGTCTGATCTAGACTTCGAAGGAAAAAAGAACATTCCCATTCCTCCCTCCAGTCAATCTACAGGTGTGATTGAATGCTGATAGACTTGGACACGCTTAATTTCATGTGCAAAATCCTTAAATTGAACTGGCTGAAACAAAGTTTTGATGAGCAGGTTTCACTTTTGTCTGTTATTCTTGGATAACTGTTGGTTTGACAAATATCCTTGGATTATTTTGGTCAGGGTGCTTTAAAGACATCACATCAAATAAATACATTTTGGGATTTAATTAATATACTGGGCAATAAACAGAGCAAAGGGAAGGGGTTGTTTAAAAATCTCAGATTTTATTACTATACCAGACACCAGTACAATGTAGACAGATTGCTTATCTATCACACAGACAGAAAGATAAACACTCATACCTAAGGTCCTGTTTCAGAAACACTTGTTTAGAATGAATTTACCACATTTTATCTTACACACGGTATTACGTTTCAACTTCAAAGTACAGAAAACCACCAGAGACAATCTATTCAGCCTTGATAGGAGCTGAATGTTTCAAAACCAAGTCCAGAGGACTTATGTCCAGCTGTGCTTTGCGTGGAGCATCTCATTGAGCAGGTTGTTGCGGGGCAGCGCCCCACTCAGATGTCTGCTGTACAGGTAGTCCTCCATCTGAGCGCTGAGGGAGCGTAACTCAGACAGACACAGCAGCAGATGAGTGAAACGACCAGAGCTCTCAGACGAGGTGGTCAGCGTGTACTCCAGCAGAGCTCCTTCTGTTTGTTCCTGCATCTTCTCTACAAATCGGTGGTCTTCTAGCTCCTTCACATCTGGCCAGTGAGAGAGAGAAAACAGTGAAGGACACAACACATGTTTGACACAGTTTGAGACGTGAGGCCTCAGTTTGTAAAATTGTCATCCTAAACCTGGATTCTATCAGTAAAATGCTGCAGTGTTAGGCTGGTACACTGGAGCACCAACAGGACAAACATGGCAAATCGGTGGTCTTTTAGCTCCTTCACATCTGGCCAGTGAGAGAGAGAAAACAGTGAAGGACACAACACATGTTTGACACAGTTTGAGACGTGAGGCCTCAGTTTGTAAAATTGTCATCCTAAACCTGGATTCTATCAGTAAAATGCTGCAGTGTTAGGCTGGTACACTGGAGCACCAACAGGACAAACATGGCAGCTGTCTCTGCTGCCAGGAAGGACACCAGCTCAGTATGGCAAGCCAAATGAGCATTTATTCTGATATCAGGATATCAGCCAGAATTGTCATGAACATGTAAGCCATTTCTGTCCACTAGTTAACTAGTTAGACATGTTTGTGTCAACTAGTTAAATATCGAGGGTGAAAATGTGCCCACTAGTTAACTAGTGACAGCAGAAATGTGCACTAGTTAACTAGTGAACACATTTAGGCTTCAGTAGTTAACTAGTTGACACAAAAACTGCTCACTAGTTAACTAGTAAAAGCAGAAATGCATAGCAGTCAGCTACTTGAAGGTATTTGTCTCACTAGTTAACTAGTGAGGGTCAAAATGTGCACACTAGTTAACTTGTGGTAGACATAAATGCGCACTAGTTAACTAGTGAACATATTTTGGCTTCACTAGATAACTAGTTGACACATAAATGGCTCACTAGTTAACTAGTAAAGACCAAAATGCATACCAGTCAGCTAGTTGAAGGTTTTTGTGTCTCACTAGTTAACTAGTGATGGCCAAAATGTGCACACTAGTTAACCTGTGGTAGACATAAATGTGCACTAGTTAACTAGTGAACACATTTTGGCTTCACTAGTTAACTAGTTGTCACATAAATGGCTCACTAGTTAACTAGTAAAGGCCAAAGTGCATACCAGTCAGCTAGTTGAAGGTTTTTGTGTCTCACTAGTTAACTATTGATGGCCAAAATGTGCACACTAGTTAACTAGTGAAGGCTTAACTCCTAACTAGTTAACTAGTTGGAGTAAGTCAGTGCCACTAGTTAACTAGTGAACCATTAATGGCTCACTAGCTAGCTAGTTGATGGCAGCAGGCTCACTAGTTACCTAGTTGATGCATCCATTGTCCAAACTAGTTAACTAGTGAGGACATAAATGTATACTAGTAAACTAGTTCAAGTCTACATTCACACTAGCTAGCTAGTTGCGCAGAATTCTAATTAGGAGGCGGAGAATTTCTCAAATTAAGACTCTCTATTGGCTCCCTGTGTCAAAATAAATTATGACAACCAATCACAGTGCGGAATTTCGTAAAATCCCACCCCAAACATTTGCATGCGGCACACAAGTTAACATGCTGGCCAGAGGAACCTCAGCTAGTGAACTAGTAGTGGCTTCAGTGTGACACTTACATGTAAACTTGTGAAGGCAGAACTGCTCACTAGTTAACTAGAGAGGGTACAAATGTCCACTAGTTAACTAGTGAGCATATCTGCGCCTCACTAGTTAACTAGTGAGCAAATCCGCACCCTACTAGTTAACTAGTTGGCGTTTTGGGGCCCACTAGTTAACTAGTGAGCATATCTGCACCTTACTAGTTAACTAGTTATGCTTTTTTGCACCTTACTAGTTAACTAGTGGGCGCTTAAGGGTGCACTAGTTAACTAGTGAGCAAATCTGCACCTCACTAGTTAACTAGTGAGCATATCCACACCTTACTAGTTAACTTGTGGGCGTTTTGGGGCCCACTAGTGAACTAGTGACACTTATTTTGCACCTCACTAGTTAACTAGTGGACATTTGTACCCTCTCTAGTTAACTAGTGAGCAGTTCCGCCTTCACAAGTTTACATGTAAGTGTCACACTGAAGCCACTACTAGTTTACTAGCTGAGGTTCCTCTGGCCAGCATGTTAACTTGTGTGCCGCATGCAAATGTTTGGGGTGGGATTTTGCAAAATTCCGCACTGTGATTGGTTGTCATATTTTATTTTAACATAGTGAGCCAATAGAAAGCCTCAATTTGAGAAATTCTCTGCCTCCTAATTAGACTTCTGTGCAACTAGCTAGCTAGTGTGAATGTAGGCTTGAACTAGTTTACTAGTATACATTTATGTCCTCACTAGTTAACTAGTTTGGACAATGGATGCATCAACTAGGTAACTAGTGAGCCTGCTACAATCAACTACCTAGCTAGTGAGTCATTAATGGTTCACTAGTTAACTAGTGGCACTGCCCTACTCCAACTACTTAACTAGTTAGGAGTTTTGCCTTCACTAGTGAACATGTGGACACTTTGAACTGTCACTAGTTAACTAGTGAGACACAAAAACCTTCAACTAGCTGACTGGTATGCATTTTAGCCCTTACTAGTTAACTAGTTAGCCATTTTTGTGTCACCCAGTTAACTAGGAAGCCAAAATGTGTTCACTAGTCAACTAGTGGGCATTTCTTCTGTCACTAGTTAACTGGTGTGCACATTTTGGCCATCACTAGTTAACTAGTGAGACACAAAAACCTTCAACTAGCTGACTGGTATGCATTTTGGCCTTTACTAGTTAACTAGTGAGCCATTTTGTGTCACCTAGTTAACTAGTGAAGCCAAAATGTGTTCACTAGTTAACTAGTGAACATTTCTGTCTCCCACTAGTTAACTGGTGGGCTCATTTTGACCCTGACTAGTTAACTAGTGAGACACAAATACCTTCAACTAGCTGACTGGTATGCATTTTGGCCTTTACTAGTTAACTAATGAGCCATTTTTGTGTCAACTAGTTAACTAGTGAAGGTCAAAATGTGTTCACTAGTTAACTAGCGTGTACAGTTTGACCCTCACTAGTTAACTAGTTGACCTGTTGACAAGATATCAGAATTAATGCTCAAGCGGCTGGCCAAATTGGGCAAAGTTAACAAGTGGGATTTTTACATTCAGTAGTCAGCTAGTACGAGTTTTTGTACCTTACTAGTTGACTAGTAAAAACTAAATGTGTTTTAACTAGTTAACTAGTGGACATTGATCTGTCCACTAGTTAACTAGTGAACACACTGAGCAATACTAGTTAACTAGTAAGATATGAAACATTTTAACTAGTTAACTAGAGAGAATTTAGGCCTTACTAGTTAACTAGTTGACATTTAGGCTGTCACTATTTAACTAGTTGACACAAACATGGCTAACTAGTTAACTAGTGGACAGAAATGGCTTACATGTTCATGACAATTCTGGCTGATATCCTGATATCAGAATAAATGCTCATTTGGCTTGCCATAGACTCAGTGAGGGTAGATACCACTAACCTGGATTAAATAGGATCAGGAACTTGATGCAGGCAAACTCTGGACGGTCCACCCTTAGGATGCGGAGCTTCTCCACAAACTGGTGTCCTCTTTGGGTCAAGCTGTCCACAGCGGGGTCGTCATGAGGAGCTATGTCTGACAGCTCCGACTGAACCACAGAAAATCCCATCAAGGCACTCACCAGTTCATCTGTACTAAACCCTCAACCTTTGTTGCCACCTTCATTAGCGAGCAGCTGCTAAGGATTGAGTTCCTGTGCAAAAGTTTAAAACCACATTTAACTGGTTTTCTTTCCCAGTAGCTATAGACTTCCTCACAGTCTTTAAAAGTGGTCTTGATAAGCAGTTCTGCAGTTTTTAAAAGTTTTTCCAACTTTTCTTTGAACTTGGGCTGATTTTCACGTTTTCCGGTCTTTGAACTTCAGAGCATGTTTTTATGCTACTTTTGAAGTTATTTAACAAATAATCCTCTGAATCTGGTGTACTTAGCTGGCCCTAAGAAGCAAAATGTAAATTTAAAGAAATTAATTTATTACATTTTTTGAACAGTGACAAACTGGACAGATTTACACAGTGAAAACAGAAACAGAACATTTCTACTGATACAAATAACACACTACACGGATAACAGCTGGGTGTAGATACATGTTTAGACATTTGATCTCAGATGAATAAAAAGTTAGAGGAAAAGCTATGACCCACCTGGTGCCAGCTGACCAGGTACAGACTACCTTCTCTGCCATAAAGGACTTGTTTAGAGATGATGTCCAGGACTAACAGGTCACTCCAGCAGCAATGCAGCAGTTTCATCTGGTCATTGACCTTGTGAGATAAAAGAAGGATAACTGAAACACAGATTCTATCCATCCTAATATATACAGGGGGCACAGAAAAGAAAAAAATACTTTTTGCTTTACTGCCTTAAATGAAAACACGTAAACATCTTTTGCCCACTTCACATATCAAATGTAACTTATAACATCGAACTGAAAAATATTACTATTTCAGTAATATGAGATGACCCCCCCCCCCCCCAAAAAATGTTGAACTATTTGGCCTCAACACCAAACGGTACACTTATCTAACGCAGTTCACAATCCACAGCATACCATCCCTACAGTAAAACATGGAGGTGGCAGCGTCATGTTGTGGGGGTGTTTCTCTGCCTCAGGGACTGAGGCTCTTGTTAGAGGACCACACAGTGACTGAAGGAGAAAATAGTGAACACCCTCATGAGTCCCAGTCTGAGTTCACGCCAAAATCCTTGGGCTCCAGTAAAGGAAGTGGAAGGCAGTTAAGATGCTACATAAATAAAATTTGATTGATAAATTGAAATCCAATTGAAAATCTGAGGGGAGATCTGAAGATTGCAGTCCACCAATACCTATTATTACTATTGATCCGACCTGAACAGTTCTGTATAGAAGAGTAGGCAAATATGGCTCAGTCTTGATGTGTAACGGTGATGTATCCCAAAAGACTCAAGGCTGTTGTGTGTGTGTGTGTGTGTGTGTGTGTGTATGCGTGGTCCTTCGTTAATCTCAGCATTTTTTGTTTTAGAAAAATTTCTTGAACTGTAGTTGTGATACTTTTCTGTTGGATGCTGTAAATAAAGCTGGTGTTTTGATTTAAGCCCGTAAAGCAAAGCCACTGAAATATTTCAAGAGGGGAGGGTTCTTTTCCACTACAAGACAAGTGTCTTCATCTTGTCTGAGCAGCTCTGACCAGAACCACTGCCTCTTTCTTATTGTTTTATTGAGTCAATGACAGTTTTACTGAGGATTGGTGGCCTGTCAGCTGCAGTTACAAATCTTCTCAATCACCAGCAGCTCTATGGCAGATCCAGGAGTTTTACTGATAAAGTCATTACACGGAACAATCAAAGAGATAATCAGAGCAAACCGGGGAGCCAGAACTCACTGTGGTAGGATTGATCAGCGAGAACAAGGGGAACTGGGGAACTCGTTGTTGTTTACTACACACACCAGAAACTTCATGTCAAATCCATCCATCCATCCATCCATCCATCCATCCATCCATCCATCCATCCATCCAGTAAAAAATCTTGCTGAGTTGATGAATCAGAGGCCTCCTGCCGTCTCGAGGCCCAAGGCAACAGCCTACCTTTGCCTGATTGTAAGACTGCATGTACCTTAGTACACTGTAGCTGGGAAGCACATTAGTGTAATCCCCAATAGTCGGAACACTCTCTGGTCCACATTTTATTAAAACTGAGACCCCACCCTGCCAATTATTTATAATTTTAGTTCAGAAAATGAACTCTAAACTACTGACCTGGGAGCACATAATGAATGATTCATGAACAAGTCGATCTTAGGATTCCTGCAGTTTATTATTTTAATCTTTGTTTATCCAGGTTAGCCTCCCTGAGACCTGTCGTCTCCTTCTCAGTCGGAGTAAACAGTCTTACCTGAAGCTGCTTGAAGAAGATGGATGTGCGTGCCCACTCTACAATGGAGCACAGCAGCTGATCGACCAAGACAAACACTGGATTGAAGATGTTTGGATCTCTTTGGCAGTTACTTTCCTCTTGTTGTAGGCGAGTTATGATTTTATTCTGCAGCTGCAGCTCATCTGGATCACAGCGTAGAAACTCCATCACAAGCGGGGGCACCCTTGGACCTCGACTGATAACGAGTCTGGAGTATGAGTCATAAGGATCAATGAAGATTCCTGCAGCAAAGCCTGATGAATCTGCACAACTTTTGCTGATCTCTGACTTGTGGAGGTTAGATGGGGAGGAGCAGTGGTGTGGGGCAACACCAGGGGGCAGGAGGAAGGACACTGATGAAGGTTGATCTGTGTCTAGGGGAGTACCGTGAAGGATGGTGACTGAGTGGATGTTCCCAGTTAGTGCAACGGCTTTCTGCTGAGATGCGTTCAGACAAGATGTGTTTCCTAGTCTGAATCCACCGGCTTGTATTAAAGCCTTTTTCTGCTGCTTGAGAGCACGATCACGCTTGTACATGGGGCCAAACTTGTTCCTCCCCCCTCTCATGCGATTGGCACGAACAGCTGTTGAGAAACGTGGATTTGTTAGAAGCAGCTTTCATGTTGAATCACCATGTGGACATGGCGTCAGTCCTTCAGCGGAGAGCAGCTTGTTTTTCCAGCTTTAGGATTTTTATTCCAAATAAAGATAAACATTTTTAAACTTTTCTTTTGGAAAACATCTCAGTGACAGTTAACAAACTGGATCTGAGTCTAACTATAAAGTTCTGCTGAGAACAAGTGAAAGCGACGTCACTGGCTGAGTGAAAAGTTTTCATCCGATAGATTCAGAAGAGTCTGTGGATGGTGAAGTCCACGCCTCAAAACATTCAAGCTGCCAGAAAACAGAAAAGCTAAAGTAAAAAGGACGAATCAGATGTAAAAAAAAAAATATGACTCAGTATTCTTTTATTTGAATTGCTGAAACAAAAGAAAAAAATACCACAACTGTATTTACCTTTTTGAGGTACAATAACAAAATGTATAGAATACAGAATAGTTTGATGTCATCGTAGTGATTTAGACAAAAACTCAGGTAAAAGCAGTCCTATCGATAGATTCATCTTGTTTATGTAAAACTGGGCAGCAGGGATTAGGATCAAACGTTAGAAAAGTCAACTTCTGTGAAAACAAAGATCTCCAGGGATTTTGTTCATGATTCTTCCATAAATAAAAATATTCAGCAACATCTTTTGCATTTTTACAGCAGACTGAAACTGTCTAATGCCAGATTTTTATTGTTCTGTTTTAATTGTTGTTTATTTTGTCTTCTTTTTTCTTTTAGTTCATATTTTCTTTTGTGTCACAAGAATCAGATTTTCATTGGCATCAGCAACTAATTAGAATATTTAAATGTTCGTGGTAAAACCAAACACCAATAATGTAGATTAAGCTGCTCTGATGTGTAAAAGCATCAGCGGCTGTCTACGGAGTTCCTCACCTTCCAGACGCATGCCAGCATGGAGACACTTCTGAAATCTGCAGAAGGCACACCGCTTCCTCTGAGCTTTATCGATGCTGCACTGCTGGTTTTCCACACAGCTGTAGGTCTTGTTGTTTTGAACCGTTCTTTTGAAAAATCCCTGCACGTGTTGATGAAAAACGACAAGGTAATGTTGTGGTTGGAGTTTAGAGACTGTTTTTGGATGCCACTCATCTCTGGCAGAGCCTTGCATTTACCTTGCAGCTTTCACAGGTGAGAACACCGTAGTGGTATCCGGATACGTTGTCTCCACACACCGGACACATCTCCTCCACGTCCACATCATATCCGCACTCCATTCTGCAAACAAGAACAGGAATATGAAACAACATAAAATGATTCTGGAGATAAAAATGACCTCCTAAACCTGCACTCACCTGACTGTTCCACCTGTGGAACCAGCAGCAGCTGAGTGAGAGCAGGTCCACCTGCGGGTTTCTCTTCTAGCTCTACGTCTCTCGCTAACCATCATTTCATCATCCTGTGGAGGAGGGACGGTCTCTGTGGTCCTGATATACTCTCTCTCATAGAGACGTATAATGTGACTGAATTTACAGCACATCATTTCTTTCCTCTTGATGTTTATGTAGCAATTATTACATATTATTATGACCAGTAAGATGTGATTTTCCATGTAAACAAGTTTCTGGGTATTTACCAACATCCCTCAGAAAGCCACGCCTTCCTTCAGATACAATATTCTTAATACTGTGAATAAGAATGGCTTAAAACACTTATGTGAGGTGAACCTTACCCTTAATGTGTATCTTATGAAGATGTGTATGATTAACTTGTTAAATCAAACACATAGTAAGAACAATATCCATTTCAAATTCATTGATTTAAGCACAAATTATTCAAACATCTCATTTAAACATCTTGTTCATTAGTCACATATGATTATTTTAAGCTTATGAGTTGTCAAAGTCATGGAAACTTCACTTGATCAGGGTGAAGAATGTTGACGTCTGGCTTTCATGCAGAGAGTGTAGGACCTTGGGAGAGAATGTTTGTTTGATTGTGTTGTCTTCATGGTATGTAAACACGCGCTGAGCAGAACCTTCTGGTTCTGGAAGGCCAAATAGAAAGTGGATTTATGCTGTAGATGAACGGTTATTATGCTGACCAATATATAGGTGAAAATTGACCCTTTTGGACATTACATTTACATGTTTTCATTTCTGTATAAATCAGATAGGTAAATTCTATATACGCTGTGAAATTTCCAGTGAATTCATGAGGGCTGCATACCATTTTCAGGATGTCCTATTTATAAAAAGGTTTTGCTGAACAGCTGCAAAAGTGAAACATAATAAAATAAACTAAAAGCATGAATCTGTTTAAAATAAGATATAAAAACCAAATTTTATACATAAATTTAAAGATAAGGACATGGTTTAGCCCGTGGAGGTGATTTAAGTAAACAGATCTTCCATTTTGTTCTGATTTGTTGTTAGAAAAGTGATTGCTTAGCTTATTTCATCTTTTAGTTAGTTGAAAGAAATTATGGTGTGTTGTTTGTTTTGTTGGTTTTGGTTTGTTATATTTAATCTTATTTTCATATTTTTCTAGTAGGGGATGATATCTTCTGTTCAGTTGAAGAAATGATGTTTTGCTGGTTGTGTTTATGTTTGGTTTATATAAGATATTTATATTAGTTCTGTTGTTTAGTAGAATTTAATTTCAATGTTATGTTTATTTTTATATTTTGTATCGTTTTTGTTTTTATAAAGTGAAAAACATTTTTTTCTATTTTTTGTAGATGAGCTACATCTAAGTGGTAGAGCTAAACAAGTTTATACTTCTGCCTGCTCCTTTTTCCAAATAACAACGGTTGTAGGCTGCACAGTGGCGCAGTGGTTAGGGCTGTTATATTGCAGCAAGATGGTCTTAGGTTCACATCCCGTACTGAAATCTTTCTGCATGGAGTGCATGTTCTCCACGTGCACGTGTGGGTTCTTTTCGAGTACTCCGGCTTCCTCCCACAGTCCAAAAACATGACCATTAGGTTAATTGGGCTCTCTGAATTGTCCTTAGGTGTGTGTGTGTGTGCGTGGTTGTTTGTCCTGTGCGTCTCTGTGTGTCTCTGTGTTGCCCTGCGATGGACTGGCAACCTGTCCACGGTATATCCTGCCTGTTTGCCCAATGACAGCTGGCGATAGCCCCCCCCCACAACCCTGCATGGACAAGCGGGTATAGATAATGGATGAAAGAATAAAGATTGTATATCGTAACTATCATTTAATTATATTGTAAGTGAATATGTTTGAAAATGAATTACTAATACTACTGGGACAGCCGTAGCTCAGGAGGTAGAGCGGGTTGTCCAGTAATCGCAAGGTTGCAGGTTTGATCCCGGCTCCAACCAGAGAATGCTACTGTTGTGTCCTTGGGCAAGACACTTAACCCACCTTGCCTTCTGGCGGTGGTCGGAGGGACCGGTGACGTCAGTGTTCAACAGGCCTTGCCTCTGTCAGTGTGCACCAGGGCAGTGTAGCGATCACACTTTTTTTTCCGAGTGTGGAATCCAGCAGTCTGAGATAAGAGGACAGCTTTGCTTGGAGACCTAGTTTGACAATCTTGTCTTCATGGAATGTCAACTAGCCCTGCAGAATCTTCTGGGTCATGGGTAGATGAACGGTCACCATGTAGGTCAATATATAGGTCAAACTTGACCCTTTCTGGATGTTACAGCAGCTGTAGCTACATCGTAGCTCATCACCACATGTGAATGTGTGTGTGAATGTGTGAATGAATAATTGGGTTGTGAAGCGACTTGGGGGGTTGTAGAATCCTAAGAAGGTGCTATAGAAACACAGACCATTTACAACCACTACTACTACTACTACTACAGCCCTTTGGTAATACACTTGTACTTTCTCTGTTCCAACAGAGTTTAGCGTCTATCCAAACAGCAGCAAAGCCACGTAAACTACAGCTTTGCTTTTTTCTCTCGCAAAGAAACACAAACAGGTTTCCTTCTTCTCTTCCTGATGGACACCCTGTCTCTAACGAATTTAATTCATGTAACAGAGATTGTCCAGGTGAATGTCCCGCTTGTCCGCAGGTCAGCAGTGTTGCCTTCATTTATCTGGGTGTGTTCCAGAGGTGTGACCAAGTTACTGCTTCGCAAGTCTCAAGTCTTTCCAGTCAAGTCTCGAGTCAAGTCCAAGACAAAGACAACCAAGTCGAGTCCAAAGTCAATGATGTGGAAGTCCAAGTCCTTAACTTTGAATTTTCAAGTCATCTGTCCAACTTCAATTCAATGACAATGATACTAAATAAATTCCATAAATAAAGCTTCTTAAAACTTCATTTATTTGTTGATACAAGCAGAAAGTGCAACTGAAACTGGTTATAAACAAAGTGCTGCTGCATTTAGCCGTACAAAATCAAACCCAGAACCAAGAATGATTTATGATTTTTGTCCATGTCGTGCCACTTTTGTGCTAAAATTTCAAATATGCTCAAGTCATCATCATCAAGTTAACAGATGCAAGTCAATTCTAGTCGCAAGTCATTGGTGTTAGAGTCAAGTTGTAAGCCTTTATAGATTTTGTCAAGGCAGAAGTCATTAAAATAATCACTTGAGCCTGACTCGAGTCCAAGTCATGTGACCCGATTCCACACCTCTGGAAACCCATCTGATAAATGGGGGACTAGAGACTAGAGAGATGGAGTATGGAAGAGACAAGGAGGACAAAGACATCTAGGAAGGAGAAACATGGAATGAACTGGGGAGACATGGAACACAGGACATGACAGTATTCACAGAGACAAAATGTGGAATTGCTCCCTGGATGTCATGGAGTGGAGGTCCAGTAAAAACAGACTGCAATGCCTTTTATAACCAGTAGATGGTGTGGCTGTATTAAACACATTTTTCTTAGCTGCGTGTGTGTTTCTTTTGTCTTTTTCAAATTTACAAGTGAAACTTGAAAAATTGGAATATGGTGCAAAGGTCCATTTATTTTAATAATTATTCAACTTAGACTGCGAGATCATCTAAAGGCTCAGGAACCCTTTGCAGGTGTTCTGGATTCATTAGCTGATTAGAGTGTGACACTTTGCATCTAGAATGTTGAACCTTTTCACAATATTATGAGATTCATATGCTGTAATTGTAAGTAATCCAGAAAAGTTGGAACAGCTGTGGGAATTAGTAGCACCAGCTTTCAAGGCTTGATCAACCTCCTTTGCTGCAGAACAGCTGTGTTCTCTGAAAAAGGCCTTTTTGTATAATTCTGAAATGTACATTATTTTTCAGTTTTGAGTAACCTAACCTTTTTTTTTAACCTCTGGCAGTTCACCATTTAACTTTGTACCATTTGAAGCTATTCATTGGACTTGAATGGCTTGAACTGCAATAAATTATTGGAAAAATCGGGGTGTTCTAAAACTTTTGACTGGTAGTGTTGTGGGCGACGGTGGTACAGGAGTTAAGTGCTCGCCCGTAATCAGAAGGTTGCAGGTTCGAGCCCTGCTCAGTCTGTTGCTGTCGTAGTGTTCTTGGGCAAGACACTTAACCCACCTTGCCTGCTGGTGGTGGTCGGAGGGACCGGTGGCGCCAGTGCTCGGCAGTCTCGCCTCTGTCAGTGCGCCCCAGGGCAACTGTGGCTACATCGTAGCTCAACCCCACCAGTGTGTGAATGTGTGTGTGAATGGGTGAATGACCGATTGTGTTGTAAAGCACCTTGGGGGGTTCCAGGACTCTAGAAGGCGCCATATCAAATACAGGCCCCATTTACCATTTTACCATATATGTATATATATGTATATATATATATATATATATATATATATATATATATATATATATATATATATATATATATATATATATATATATATACACACACACACACACACACACACACACACATATATATATATATATATATATATATATATATATATATATATATATATATATATATATATATATATATATATAAAAACCTATATATATGTGTGTGTGTATTTATATATATATGTATATATACATGTATATATATAAATACACACACATACTGTATATATATATATATGTATAAATACATATATATATAAATATATATATATACATATATATATTTATATATATACACACACACACATTATATATATATATATAATGATTACACATGTATACACCACTATTAGACACGCATCTATGTCTAAATTTAGATGTGACTTGCTCTTTAACGTGGGATTTTAATGACATGTCCTGGTCAAAGATAACACCAAGGTTCCTTACTTTGTTGTTGGAGACTAATTTAATGCCATTCAGGCAAGGTGATTGACTAAGCAATTTCTTTTTCTGACGTTCCGGTCCACAGATGAGAACTTCAGTCTTGTCTTGATTTAAAAGCAGAAAGTTTAGAGTCATCAAATTTTTTATGTCCTCAAGACAAGCCTGTAATCTACCCAACCGATTAGGTTCATCAGGGTTAATGGATAGATATAACTGAGTATCATCAGCATAACAATGGAAGTTTATCCCA